CCCCGCGTCTCCACACAAAATAGCAAATATTGCTCGTCAATATTCAGATTAGTCGCTCGGACAATGGTCTGTGGGATTAGTATTAAGATGACATTCCTTACAAGAAGCTTAAACAGGCCAGATAAACTGACCAATTTCTACTTAACAATACCTCGAAATCCCTTCTCGGCCCACAACTACCCTATAACCCCTTTACGGTTCATATACATACATAATGTTTATTACTTATAGCATATAGTGTATTGTCATAGGGGTCAAGGGGTCAATACGTATCAAGATAAACCCCCTTGGTCAGCAAGATCAAAGATAGACCAATTCCCTAGATAGTAGGGGAGGGATTTATTAACAGGGGGCTTAACTCTAGTAATTCTCCGATATATTTTAATGTAAACCCCCCTGTACAAGTTGTTTTAGGGGCTTAACGCTGTCCACTTTGTAAATGTAGATTTGGACAAACCTGTACCTTATTCAGGGATTTAGCATGTATATCCCCTAGGGAGTCGACTTTAAAGATAAACTACATGGGTTAGTATTTCACTTCAACAATCAATAATCCCCTGTGGGATATCTAAAACATCCTTAAAATATTCATAGATGTGCTTACTTTATAAATGAGAAATAGTCTCCATTTCAACTGATAAACGTGTCGACAAGAGTCGTATCCATGGCAATCGTCCAAAAATACATATGAAATATAAAATAACTTTTATTTTAAACTTTCTGTTTAAACATCTCTATCATAGCTGTTCACAGTGATACATTTTAATTAATGTCGCTACCGTGGCTGTTCACAGTGATATCCTTTAATCAAAAATTAGTTGTAATTAGCATTCAAGGCTTAAAAGACCGTTAGCTAATCCTTTTACAGATTGTCAAATCAAACTTATAACTTTCAGGTGTCAAACTTATCCCAGCATTTTATGGTTACTCAAATAATAAATAAATATTATATTTTATGGTTACTCAAATAATAAATAAATATTATATTTTATGCTACAATCGTGATAAATAATTTCCAAGTTATACAATGTTTATGGACAAACTATTTGGATTCATCAACAATTTATCAAATGTATTCAATTTATTTTTTAAAGCCATTAAATTACACCAACGCCACTTACTTGCCTAGATATTTTATAGAAAAGACAATTCATATAGACACAAAACTATTATTGTGAATTAAAGGTAAAATTGGGACTGGTTTCGTAGGTGAAAATATAACGTTATCTTCACATTCTTTCAATTGCATACACGGGAAATGTTCTGCTCAGACTGGGTTAAAGAAGACGGGTATACGCCAAACAGTGTGCTATGAGGGAAATTTTGCCTGGACAGCGGAGCTACGACATGCTCTTATATCGAATTTCAACTGCCAAGGGATCGTTTACGCGCACGTCAATGTGTACACTGATCTCAGTTTTTCGTCCCATTCGACTATAGATTGTGCCTTGCCAGGCCCTCTGTCCTGCACCGATGACAAGGAGAAACCACGCCGGAAAATCCGACAAACTTTCTGGACCAACCCAGGGATCGAACACGGAACCTCCGGGTTAGCGTGCGACCATCTTACTCACTGAGCCACCGTGGCTCTAACCCAGGGATCGAACACAGGACCTCCGGGTTAGCTACCCAACGTCTCATCTCAGAAATGTGAGAAAGTTGAACAAAGTAGATAATATATGATGTTACATACTGTAGAAATTGATCTGTACGTATTTATCACATTGTACAATGGAGGTGTGTAATGTTTACATTTTAACAATAGATCAATTACAGCAAAGAAACACAAATCTTTTATAACATGATAAACTGAACATATCGATAGTTGAAATGCATAGTACATTCTCAGGGGGGTCTAACTTACTCTCAGGGGGGTCTACCTGACTCTCAGGGGGGTCTACGTACCTTACTCACCATTCATCAACTCTCAAGGTAAGGTGTCCAACGTGCACATCAAATACACTCGATAACTTTTGAGTCACATAAGACCAAAGTGAAAGGAGAGAGAGAGAGAGGGAGAGACCCACGAGGCATGACAGGCGAGCTTATTCCGTGTCACGTACAAGCAGGAAATCGAAACCACGCCTTTTGACTCAATGACAGACATTATGGTACAGCGCGCACGCGTTAACCATTCAGCCACCTAACCCCACACAAAGTAAAAGGATTAAAGTCTAACGTCTGAGAATATTTTAGGGTGTTTTAAGCCGTGGATTTAATGTCCTACTTTTCTGCACCAACCGGGATAATGAGGATCGGGATATGTCATATAGTGTGCAATGACGGAAATATTTGCCCGGAATTAATTAAGGATCCTTTTATGTGCGCGCAAACGTGTACACAGGACCGCAGTTTTCGTCCAATCCGAACGACTAATCACTGTTCCTTGTCCGTAACTCTCTCCGGCACGGACAGTTTGATATTTTCTCAAAATCTGTAGATGTCCTACCTACACACAATGAAAGATCCAGACGGTTGTTGACATTGTCGAGTGTCCTGTACACTGGCAGGTCGACCACCATGTACCCCACCAACTCGCTTACAATGAGTTGTAAATAGAGAGACTGAGGCCTGATTATACTTGAGTTCGGACCCTGGCTGAAAATGCCACTGGGGCCTTTGCATCAACAATGAAAATTGGGACCATATTCTGGTCATTTTTCGTCACACTCACAAATGTTATAGTAGATAGAAGAATTTAATTGGCACAGACACATATAACAAAACACATGAAATTATACACTATATACATTACATAAACTTCCACAGATAGCCTAATACAAAAGTCTATAAACGGCCCCACTGTGGTTCCTAACTAATTAGGGAGCCCTTGGCTATAGCCCAGTCAGGATGCCCCCAAACCCTCCCACGGGGCCAGACTATTTTGAGGCCTAGACAAGGTCCTTATCGTAATCCTCATCTCAGCCTCAAACATTAAATAAAAGCAAACAAACAAAATTTGACTGCTTTGTAGACACAAATGAAAAGCATAAGACTTGAAACTGTTAAAACAATTTTAAGTTCTATATTAAGAAACGCGACGTTGATCTTTGTTTAAAACTGTGAATCTCAAAGGTAAATAATGCGGTCCTCTTCTAAGGTATGTGCACTAGGTGGTAGACTTTTTGTCCTATTGAAAGCACCGGACCTGCCTTGATGTATTTATACTACCACTGAATCACGATACGTTTCATGGGGCGCCTGGAAAACAAATCTCCCTCACATTACAAGATTATCCGGGATCCCCACCCCCCAGGCCCACCCCATCCCATCCTAGGATATTTAAATGACACGACAATAATATTATATTTAAATGTTGCTTGAAGACCACATTCAATCAACTGTGTTGTAATAATTATTATATTACAGCAAAGCATTAAAATTACTCAAGGCGTTTCCCAATGTAGGGGAAATAACTCCATTTTGAGACCACTATTTGTATCGGATTATTCAACAACTCCATTCGTGAGAAATGACAAAAATGATATATGGGGGGGGGGGGGAGGTGGGGGGACGGAGGAGCCGGAGAAAACCCACGAGGTAGGAAGGGAAGAACGTGACGATTAACGGACGGACAGAATGACGAAATGAAGGACAGAAGAGCAAATAGAAGCAGTAGACGTGAATGAGAGAACAGAAGAATCAAATGAAAAACCTGGGTTGTGGTCAAAATACGCCAGCGTCAACTATCATCTTCAATAAAATAATTTGATGGGTTTCTTTTTAATCCGATTTAATTCAGACAGGGAAACTATATTCACTTAATAATTTGATATTGCTTTTCTTAATTAAACATACAATCTGCCTATTGCAGGTCTTTCTTTGGGCCTCAAATGTTATGTAAATTATTAATTAGACATTTATTAACATGACAAAACCATACTCAATTCTCGATTTCATCGGATGGCTCCGATTTTAAGTAGATTAGAATGGTTCGGCCATTTAATGATTTAATTTAAAAATGTAGAAGTGAGGCTAAGACTCGAATAACCAGTACAGTGGTTACGATCAATGCATACATCTTGTCAAAACTACAACCATTGATAACTTTGCTCAAAATAAAGTAATTTGAATGAAATTTTCAATATATTCATTTTTCATGATGTATTTTGTAAATATTACAGCAAGAACGGCCAGCTGTTTATCTAAATCTTAAAGTAGCTAAGTCTCTAACTCAATATCAACTAAAATCTTTGACATTGAAAACACAAATTATTTGTCAATTTAAATCAACATTGATGTTGTAATTTTACCGGGAAAAGATGGGCTTCTGCTCCAATATTTAAGACAATATAAACATTTTACCATTGGTACACGAATCGTGTAGGCTACCATAATGCGTTTCAGTGCCATTTGTAACAAGAGACTCGAAAAACGAGGCTAGGCATATTCCACAAGTCATGTCAAACGGTGACGTCATATTCTTATCTGGAGAGCATGCGCAATAAATACTATCGATGTAGACGGGAATAACCAGACGCTAGAGATTGCCATTCGATTGACACTTCTGGCCTATGTCGCCGAACATAACTGATTTGAAATTAGAGTAAAATCGGAAACAATTGAATGTAAATCAGTTAATTACATTCATATTATATTATTACATGCGTTGCGACCCATTTGTATCCATTTTTAGGTCCCAAATATTAGCGATTTAGCTCCTTTAAATTGAGAATATTTTAGCCTGGAATAAGCCATGAACATATCTTATGAATAAATGGGATTTAACCTCCTACTGTTCTGCTAAGACTGGGCTAATAAAGATCGGCATACGTCATACAGTGTGCGATGACGGAATTTTTTTGTCCAACCTGAAAGACTAATCACAGGTTCTTTTATGTGCGCACAAACCTGTACACAGGACCGCAGTTTTTTGCCCGATCCGAACGACTAATCACTGTTCCATGTCAGGCCTCCATCCTGCACGAACAATTTGACATTTCCTCAAAAACTGGAGATGACCTACAGGGACTTTAACTTTACAGTAAAAACATTCGATATAAACTTGATATAAACTATTTATTTGTTTTCTTATATAATAAACATATCCAGACAATATATATATTTATATAACATCAACTAGTAGTATATATATCTTAATATAGACTCAGTTACTATAGCTACATAATCACATAATGCCCAGCGACCTATTGTTAACATGTTAAACCAGAAGGTCTCAAAAAGGTGCATACCAAATCAGAACCTACCAAACCAGAACCTATAGCATCAAATTGTGTGAGGCCCTGGAGAATTGAGTGAGGCCGTTGAGAATTGTGGGACCCTAGCTTTTATTAGCTAAAGCCTAACTCCAGTACTGAAGAATCTTCAATACAATCCCTGGGGCCTCTCTGAATCCATCACCTAGTGTCTGAAATACAATCAGACTCTTTCCGTAGCTGTTTTGATGGCAGACTGGAAAGCCTGCTCTAATAGGTGAGACATGAACCTACCTCTCTTCTAGATCCCACATAACGGCGCGAATCTAACTTTTATATATACACATGAGAAATGAGTGGCGTATTATATAATATTGACGTCAAAATAGAGCTTTAAAAATAAATGCAGGAACAATTTTGTCCAGTCTATTTTAATTGATATAAAGATAGCTGATATTTTAACTGAAATACAACAGGCCTTCGTCCGTGATATCACCCAGCTGAAAACGGACGTTATTAATTAATAAATACAGCTATTTCACATAAAACAGTTCTCAGACTTAAGTTAAGAATTTACTCAACTTTCAATCACTGTTTATGAGAAATATCTTTGATCCAGAAACACAAAACTTTGCACATAGTTTCTTATTGATGTATTTGATACATTAAAACAACAAAAGTTTTATAAAGGGCTATATTTTAGTTAAAATAAGGCAAACAATTTTGAGTAAATTCTTAACTTAAGTCTGATGGGAATGTTTTATAAACTTGTGGCCAGACCAATTTAATGTACAGTTGTTCATAGTGTTGATAAATAAAATAGCCACACAAGTCAAAAAAATTTCAAAACTACAAACCTTGAAACTAAAAGCTGTTGAGAAGATCCATCTGGTATTTTATAAATAGAAAGTCAACTTGAATAAAAGTTTGAGCGGATATATTGATAATGTATAATGCATAAAAATCCACATCACAATAGGGAAATACTCTAAACGCTATCTTATATATGATCACATATTGTTTAAATCAGCTAATTTCTTAGTCTACATCACAATAGGGAAATGCTCTAAGCTCTGTATGTACTTGGCATAAATCTTATATTATTACATATTGTTTAAATCAGCTAATTTCTTATTCTACAATATTACATAGATATTTAACCATCTAATATATTTAATTAAAGTAAAGAGTGAGCATTTTATAAGATAAATATAAGCTAAACTCTGTACAATCCAAATCTTTTACACATATATAAATACTAAAATCCAAGAATTACTACATTAAATACCATAAAATATATGAGATAATATTATGCATTACAAGATGGCACTTGACAAATAGCTAAATATGGCAGTGTCATATGATACTAGATGGCACTTGACAAATAGCTATATATGGCAGTATTATATGAGGTTAATAACAGACCATACAAAAACTGTCTGAGGACTTGGAATTTAAGCTACAGAAACAATCCATTAAAAGAGGTACTCTATAGAAAACTTTCTGTAAAATGTCATGAGGCTTTTCAACAAGAAAATAAATGCAATTAATTTGAATAATATTCAAAAAATTGGAGTTAAAATCACTGATTCGATAATCCAAAACCACTTTAGATTCATCAGATAATCTAAAATAACTTTAGAAACATCAGATAATCGAAAATAACATTGGACTCATCTTTTGAATCATCCGATAATATAAACCACTTTAGATTCATCAGATAATCGAAAATAACTTTAGAAACATCAGATAATCAAAAATAACATTGGACTCATCTTTAGACTCATCCGATAATATAAAATATTGTAACCTTAGACGTTTCCAATAATCTTAAATAACCTTAGTCGCATCCGATAATACAAAATAAAAGCACTGACCTACACGTATTTAATGAAAGATGACAATCACTAACACATTTGATCCTCTTCTAAATTTAAAGTGAATAAATCTCAGCAAAGGTAGCACATATTTATCTCTAATACTGTAATTAATCATGCCTGACCTAACCACAGAGTCACATCCCCACCATTCTAACAACGACCATTACATCAATATTAATCTAAACTAATTAGTTTATTAATCAGAATCTTACTCCAACACCAAACCTTCAACTAGTTTGTATTTTAAATCATAGTACAATATCCTCACCAACATACATATTGAAACCGTAGTTTGTATTTTGATAATTGTGAATGTTGATAGATCTGACTGTAATGCAAGAAAAAATTCAACTGGACGTCCTTAAAACGGAAAGTGTTTTAATGTCTCATCAACTCAATGCAGTGATCACCTTGAGACAAGAATGTAATATTACAGTATATTTATTTTTATGGCGACATGTGCAAATGCGAGGTAGGAGAATTTTGACTGAACAGTAGTATTTTTGCCTACTTCATGCCCTGAAGGTAAAGAAGTTATTATTGATTCATCTGGTGTATTGTATGTAAATAAATCTTCACATACAGCTTTATTTATAGGAATGATGTAATGTACGATACTAAGATCATCAACCAATTTGATCAATGAAGATACCTGAATTACAGGTGTGCTGCAGATTTATACTAAATATAAAAGCTTGAATCTGGAGGTTAGCAATGTCCATCGATACAACTATAGCAGAATGTCCATCAACCAAAACGGATATGTTTTGAAGTAACTATAGAAACGCTGTTACTAACAGACAATGATTTAATCTCCATTCCGCGCTGCATGGAATTTATGTCTTTCTCAATACCACCGAACATAATTAATTCTCCACGACCGTGAACTAAACTAAAAAACACTGTCTCGTCTGGTGTATCGGGCGTCACTATTTCCTTATACGGTTTCCAGGAGGCGCTACCAGTCTCAATCACATGACTTATATCTAAAACATGCATATACATCGGTGATATTCGGTCTTTAGAAGGGCTCTCAGGTTTATCTGTTGGGCTAGGAGCTGGAGATGTTGTAGCTTGATGTTGCCGAAATCGTTCTTCATATTTACGTAATGTGTCTAACTGTTTTTGACGATTTGTCATGGCGTTTGGCCGAACTGATGGGTGTCCGGGTCGAATACTTGCTGTTTTCGATGAGGAAGGATGTACAAAGCTATCGTTATTTAATGACGAAGGGTAGGTTGGATTATCCTTTCTTTCATCTGAGGAGCTATCATCACCTGAGCTATCATCACTGTCTGGTTGATTACGTCTACTAGGTCCTGGTTCGTGTAATAAGGGGTTATAATTTGCAGGACGTGGTGGTGGTATAAATGGTCGAACAACAGGTTTAGATGCTGGAGGTGTCAAAGGTTTTGCTGATTTACTTAAAACTATCATCGAATCGCCAACCTAAAATATAAAAAAATCATCAATTATTTTTGAACAGTATATAAGTTTGACGCTGCCATTTGATGATTTTCAAAATGAATATTTTATAATTTGTTTTTTTATTAAAGAATATCTGGGAAAGAGCTGAAAGTGGAATTATTGCAATTAGCAATTAGTAATTACCAGAAGTGTTATCAGGCATTCCAGAAAGCTTAGTAACAACCTACTTGCTTAGTGCCACTGAGCAAGTCCTCAGTACAAAATCCCTTTACATTTGGAATTTGAAAAATTTCCCTCATAGCACACTGTATGGCTTAAACTTTTCTTCAGTATCCATGTTGGTGCAGAACAGTGGGATGTTAAACCCCATTTTATTTGTTCTCTATACCTTACAAACAGTACATTACCACAGTAACTATAGCAATGGTTAATGAGCTGAAAGTCATGGCCATATCAATTCCCTGATTACACCCCGGGATGACATCACTTTAACACAGTAAATATAGCAATTGTTAATGAGCTCTATTTACCTTACAAGCGGGATGACACCACAGTTGAGGAGCTGCAAATTCTGAACTCTCTACTTTTATTTCTTTCCACATCCATCCATCGTCTGATAAATTCAACAACCACACATCGGAAAAAATCTGAAAGTTTGTACAAAATAATTTAAATCACGTGGAGGGATCTGACTCCTGCTGATGGCCGTCTGACATCCAAACTATCGCTATATCTAGTGATCTTGTTGTTTATGAGGATGGGTATAGAATACCACTTAATATCAAATTACAGTTGTCATACACAAGGCAGGATATGCTTATTCTTCCAGAAAACCTGATACCACTATCATTGGAGGAAATGAAATGGAATTTTACCTCCTACTCCAACCGGGGTAATAGAGCTGGTATTCCATACAATATAAACATTATACACCTCCATTGTACAATGTGATAAATACGTACAGATCAATTTCTACAGTATGTAACATCATATATTACCTAGTTTGTTCAAGTACTAGTACAAGATTTGGTATAAATGTAATTTATTTTAGAACTAATGTTATGTGAGTTTATTACATGGCTGTCATCTATTTACCTGTACTAGTACAAGATTTGGTATAAATGTAATTTAATTTAGAACTATTACCTGGTTAGCACCACCACATCCACCCATGATTAAAATATGGCCGTCATCTAGAGTAACCTAAACATAATATAAATATGTTTTAAACACGATAAAATCTCTTTCATTCTGGTCAAAGAGAGAGAAATGTGGTGGGGTCTTTAGCAGTGGGAGGGAACCCGAGGACACAGATAAAACTGACAAGGTGGGAAAGGCGACCCTACTCCTTCTCACTTCTATGTGGGGAATCGTACTCACGCCACTTGACTCAAAGACAGATCTTTTGATTTCACACATAAACATTAAACCACTAGACCACCCAACACCCCAGAATGTGTTTTAGACTCAACATGTCTTTATGTTTTATAATAGTAAATGTAGGAGAACTGCACCACAAATAAACAAACAGGACTCACAGACATTGTTACATACATATAGACATAGCCTGTTCCCCAATCTAAATTCAGATATTTACTGAATAAAAATATTGTTCATTAAAATAAAAGATAGGTTGCAGCTAAATCGTGCGGGCAGTCAAGTCTGATATTAATCAAAGTTAGCATGTTTTGATAAATATAAACAATATTGCTACGATCTTTGGGAGTATTAACATAATGAAAACAATTTGAAATTAAAACAAATGGCTTCTGCAAGATGTAAAACATAATGTAATTGTTATATACATGTATCTACCTGAGAGGTAAAAAATATTGTAATAGACAGTATTAACTACCTACCCGAGAGGTAAAACATATTGTAATAGACAGTATTAACTATCTACCTGAGAGGTAAAACATATTGTAATAGACAGTATTAACTATCTACCTGAGAGGTAAAACATATTGTAATAGGCAGTATTAACTACCTACCTGAGATTGTCCATATCGTGGATTAGGTTTTGCTCCAACTGTAATCTCTTTTCTCCAATAAGATTCAAGAAAATCAAAAACATAAACTTCGTTACTTCTGTAAATAAATATTTGATGCACATTTAGTGAGCGTTATATTACTCCACAAAAAAGGAAGAAAGAAATAAAATGAAATGAGAATGAACGTTCAAAATGAAGAAAGACAACTCCTCATTTTGTCACTACAGAGTTAAAAGGTTGGATCCAAGTTTTGCTAATATCGTTCCGAAGAGCCAAAATACGAATAGTGGTTAAGAATCATGATATTGTACAGTAAGTGCCATCAAAATATCGTATGCAAAATTTGGTATTTCTAAATTTGGGTGGCGAGTATCCACCCTTTCCCTGCAAGAGAGCAAACTACTCGAGATAAAAATGGTATTACAGTCATCCTCCTACTGCAGACTATTATAGGTAATCACAGAATATGATAGAGAGTGTGTGAGACCAGCTTTATACAAGTATATTATGGTACAGATGTATAAGGTAAGATTCTCGCTTAAACAGTCTAAAAATAGATAATGAAAAAGGAATATATAGAAAATATCAGTCAAATTACTTTATTCTTAGCCAACTTGTGAATGTTGAGAGTTTTCATAAGATTAGCGTAGTCTCGCTTTTCATAGCTACCATTGTTACAATAATGAAACAAAGTCTTGATTATCCATGTTTTAAGTTTCTTACATAATGCATCTATAAGATTTTTAGGATGTTGGCAGAGCTGAAGAAGAAAACTAACCCTTGCCCTGGAGCTTGTGATCCACCAAATATAACCATAGAATCACCAACTATAGAAGCTGAATGTCCAGCTGTAGGAGGTGGGGTGTACGTAGATGCAAGGATGATATGGGACCAACGATTAGTCTCGGGATTAAACATATCTAACTCGTTAAAAAACTTGGATGTCTGAAAAAAATAAAACATGTAAGTTTTAAATACTTAAAATAATTTAAGTCGCTGATCGTCCATTTTTATTTTTCGGACAATTAGTACAGAAAAGTAGGACGTTAAACTCCATCGATGAATAAAATTATATTGATATAAACACTACATTAGGCGTAGGAGTCTTGTCTTTAGAATGGAGATTACGCGTAGACGTCTTGTCTTTAGAAGGGGGAGGAAACTGGTGGACCCAAAGAAAACACACGAGGTTGGACAGTCGACCCTCCTCCTTGTCACATACTACGTCACTTTACTCAATGACTGACCTTATAATCTAACCACTCAGTCACTCACCCCATGATTGAAACATGAGACATGTAATAAACCTGATTTACCTATAATACTACAGGTAAGTACAGGTAATACTATAGATAGATTTACCTGATGAAGAGGATAAGGTGTAGGATGACTCCAACCTCCATATAATATTAAATAACTTTTATATACCACCATTGAAGCACATCCTTTAGGAGAAGGATAAGCACCTATAAATATTAAAACAGTCAATAAATATAAATATTAGTGGACATATGAATATTTTGACCCCATGGTGTTAGCTGAAAAGTCTGGAGTTGTTCTAGATGGAGATGAACATGTTGTGAATTAAATGGATTAATTCTGTGTGGACAACTCTGTACCAATATCTGAAGATCTGTGCTACTGTTTTAAAACAAATATAAATTTGTACGTTTGCCAAAGTGCTTGTCACGATTACGTATCAAGTAACATATACAGTGGATGACGGAAATACTGTAAATGAGACAAGGATGTTGAATGTCCACTGAACACAAACTAAGTCATCATGGAACTAATATTTGGTACACTTTTATTCCAATTATTAGTTTGTACCTTTAGTAGAGCAAGGAAACAGTATTACCCAGAGAAATCTCACAAGATAGGGTGTAGGAGACCCTTCACCTTGCCACGTACAAACCACTTGACTCTATAGCAGACCTTATGATATAAAGTGCATGATTTAAACCACTCGGAGATTAAGCAATCATTTCTGAACTGCGTAATATGTTGATTTAAAATTCAGAATTCGTGGGGCATGATTTTTTTTAAGTTCATAGAGTAGCAAAGAGAAACCCCTAGGAACCTCCCAAAAAATCCTAGAAACCCCTTCAATAGAAATCATAGAAACCCCTTCAACAATAAAAATCCTAGAAACCACTTCAACAATAAAAATTATATCCTCACCCACAGCTAATGGTCGAACCCATTGTCTGGTAGTTAAATCAAACCTCCAGATATCGTTAAATGTTGTATTAGTCACCGTACATCCACAGCAGACATACAGTGATTTATCGTAATAACAGGCACAGTGAGAATATCGTTTGGTTATCGTCTGGCCAGATTCCGCTTGTATACTCGTCCAGTTTATATCACATCCATCAATCGCTTGATTAAATCTTCGTTTGATTTTTACAACAACCCCTGAAAAAAAATAATTAGTTTCATATAAACCAATTTTGTCCCAGGGCGCTGCCGCTCTATTCTTCTTTCGATTCAGAAGATCTTTAATGTGTTGGAAATGATATTGGAAAAGGAACCTCTGATTTCAGTATCATCCAAATGAGAGAGAGAGAGAGAGAGAGCGAGAGAGAGAGAGAGAGAGAGATGGGGTTTAATGTCGACTCGACACAAACCAGGTCATTTCGGGACTAACACATGATTCAATTTTATTTCAATAATTCGCTTGCACGTAGGGGTCTTTAGCAGTGGGAGGAAACCATAGGACCTGGAGAAAACCATGAGGTTGGACAGGCGACCCTGCTCCTTGTCACGTACAACTGGGGAATCGAAACCCCACCAGTTGACTCAATGACAGACCCTATGATACATGCTAACCATTCAGCCATCCAACCCTCCCGTATCATCCAAATGATTAGACAACTTTCATTCAAATGAAGTAGGGTTCAATGTCTTACTTTTCTGGATCAATGGGATAATGAAAACGGTTATATACAATGTACCATAATATTCTAGGTTTCCTTCAAACAGTGACATTTCTGTCTACACTTCATCAAGTTCCCAACAGCGACACTACCTCGACTTCATTCTGAACTATTCCCGTAATTAGCTATTTTTCTACATGTGCCTTTCAGCCTTAAGTGAGCTAGTATTTGGTGATTCTCAATGGCACGAATTGAAAAACAAGCAGTTGCCATGCAAGATACACCAACATGGACATAGAACAAGCTAAACAGAAAAGCGAATTTTCGTACAATACATGTAAGAGCACATAATCCATGAAGTTACAATCAAATACGAGCCGAGATCTCTGCAAGATATCAGATAAACCTACATGTCAAGTTTCGTCAAAATCTGATAAAACTTGTGACTTGTAGAGTGTCCACAAACAAACTGTATGTAGACGGACAGGGGCGATGACAATATAAAAACCAAATGAAATGGGGTTTAAACGTCCTACTGTTCTGCTCCGAACTGGGCTAATGAAGACGGGCATACGCCATACAGTGTGCTATGAGGGAAATTTTGCCAGGAAAAGGCACTACAGCATACTCTTATATCGAATTCCAACTGTCAAGGATCTTTTATGCGCACGCGTACATGGGAGCTCGTTTTTTTGTCCCATCCGAACGACTAGACACGCCCTCACTCCTGCATCGCGATAATATACTTCCACATTACCATCATTCCTATTTCCAAATACCTGGTACATTATTTGTTAGGACTTGCCGTGTGGGTTAGTGATTTGGTTATAAAATAAATTTCGAGCACTACAATGTAGTTCCGATCAATTTCATTATCTTTTTTCAAACTACATGTATTATAGCCAGAGAACTGTTAATTCTTTATCTAAATCTTACATGATGCATCTTTAAATAATAAATTTGCACGATAATGTATTATGTAGGCTCTACATGTACATCACATGTGAAGTCTGGGACTGTAACTTTAACAATGATTTATTAAAACTATATACAAATTTCAATAAATAAATGTTTTCAAAACTCATCAATATGTGCCATGGCTCGAAATGTTCGCCTGTCTACTTGTCACCGACAGGCGATTTTTTCGTCTGACAGGTAGGAAATAAAACTAGGTCGACTAAATTTTACTTGATGTTCAGTAAATTGACCACACCACTCACGTTCACGTCACGTACATTTAATTATTCGCTTCTAAATGCAAGAATTAAGCATGGAAATACCGCGAAAAGCCGCCATTTGCACTGTTTACATTTCGCTCTGTCGTAGGCTACAGTTACTCACACAGTTTGGAAGTAGACAATTTTATATCAATGAATTTCACACCATCTACGCTTGTTTTCATCTGCTTGACACTAGTTTATAGCATTATGGAGTATTATATCTAAATAAATTAAAACGCACCCCCAAGTCACCTGAAATAATTCTACCGTAACGACACCACAGTAAATATAGTAGTGGTTGGAATGGAAATACACACGGCTTGTTGCTTGGTGTATTTAATCATTTAAAAAATTTTAAACAATTTCCATAAATAAAGGCTATGAATAATTTATAAGACAATTTGACAAAATCAAAAAATCAGGTCAGAAAAATATTTCATATATAAATACAATTTGTAGCGTAAATATAGTCCGGATATGTGAGAAGGGAATTCCAGGTGGCGTTATCTGTCCTTCGCACACGGTACATGTAAATACGGTGCCATGCACAGGTGTGATTTGTGTTTTGATATTCAATTTATTACGGATATTTTAAAATCTGAATTCTACAACTCAACGGTGAAGTATTCGATTTAGTACGGAAGTGTGGTACCATGATACTTTGCTGAATTCACGTGAATACAGATGATAGAATTGTACGAATCTTCGAGTCGCTGAGCCAAAGCAGATTTGCCGACTTTCAAGAACTTTTAGGCATTCCGATGTCGAAGAAATAAAAAGGTTTCATATTATATTAAGATATTTATATAGAGCAATGTTCGTCAAAGACCTAACCACGTGCGTGTGTACCTACATGTATGGATATGTGTGATGTGAATAGTCTTTGAGTTTCATAATTGAGAGTGACAGGTTATTTACTGAAGCGACAGGTATGAAGAAAAGCTACCTGTCGCTTTCGAGGCCTGAAGTGCACTATCCTAATGATTTTAGCTGAGCATTTTCACTTTTTTCACTCAAGGAAATGGACTATTGAATAAGATTATCATATCTGAGTCCAATGGTCAATGGATAATAATTATTACTGTCTGATTCATCGTAAATTTTAAACGGATTTCTTCGATTATGAACAAACTACTTAACTTTGGTTATTATAAACTTACCTGTGTGTTTGTAATGAACTCCCGTTCGATAAAATCCATTGCACAACTAATTATCACAACGATGAAAACAAGTTCTCTCTTGAAAAATTGAAATATCACAAACTTTTCCCAGAGAAAAATACCAATATGGAAGATGGTTACGTCACTCTGCGGAAGATATCATTTCGTATTAGGGGTGACAGCATAGGAAATTCAAGTACAATTACGACAAGAATCCATGACCACTCGGACCAAAGATCACTCGGTTCAAGACCAGTCGGACCAAGTGATAGACCACTCAGCCCAAAAAAATAGACTACTCGGACCATACAAAAAGACTATTCGGACCCAACAGAAAGACGACTCGGACCAATAATAAAATGTTGTTTTAATAAATTGATAATTGCGTTTGTTTTAATATAATTACTCGAACCAATAATAAAGTGTTATTTTAATAAATTGATAATTGTGTTTATTTTAATATGACTACTCGAACCAATAATAAAGTGTTATTTGAATAAATTGATAATTGTGTGTGTTTTAATATGACTACTCGAACTAATAATAACGTGTTGTTTGAATAAATTGATAATTGTATTCCAAATCGCAAAATATCGAGAACCACACTTGTAGTCACGTTTAAAAAGGGGCATATAAACGTCCGGTCTGCGTATTATTATGTGCTGTTTATATTAACGCATCAAGGGCGGATAACTTGAAAACGTGTCTCCACCCCCCCCCCCCCCCATATATAGTAACCCAGGGGTTAGTGGGGTAGAACGGAATGAAACCACTGGGGATACCGCGAATGTGGAAAAAGTAAAATTAGGCTATCAGACAAGAACAGTATACCAGTATATGTAGAAACTGTCAAAAGTCTGGACATACCGAGTCTCATTGCAAGAGTAAAGAAAAATTAGATTGATATTTTTTTTTGGCACCATTATTAATTAATTTTAAAACTAATCGTTGATTTATTTACGTACACAAAATTGAACCAAACAACTCTAAATATAAGAATTCCGTATAAGAATTATTTGCTTCTTTGTATTGTGATTTAATAATAAATAAATAGCATATTGTCTAGCCTTATAATATAATTTAATTGGTCCGACTGGTCTTGTTTTGGTCCGACTGGTCTTAGTCCGAGTAGTCTTTGGTCCGAGTGGTCTGGATACCTGCGACAATTAGCATTGAGTTTGAGCGTTCGCACACATAACTACCCGCATTCCTGTATTTAGTTACCGTCTTTTACATTCTAGTAAAATCTCTGCAAATTTTATAGCTTTACTTTTTGAAATATTTTGTTCTAATTATTTGATTAGCGACTCGGATGGGATTATTTACTTTTGAACACGCATGCCGCACAAACACAACTATACATTCGTTTTACGGGCTTTATCACACTTCGGTCAAAACTGTCGAATCGAGAATTAATGTTCCGCTTCTTACGGGGTCATACGGGCTTAGTAGCATTATATACCCACCCGGGCACCCAATACAGCAATAGACACGCTGAGGGCTGCCGCAACACGCTTAAAGATGTTACTGAAGCGGTTATTATTCGATCGAAAGAATGCGTATAAAATTAAAAATACACTCAGAGAATTCGGAGGTAAGCTTCATGATCCTTGTTAAATTATTTATAACATAAAGAAGATAGGATATTTATAGTTTATTCATGACTTTATTTTTACGAGTATCCGTGCAATCAGTGATATTTTAATTGTGAAGAAAATTTGATAGACTGGCGATCAATGGTTTCCATATAAATCTCCTATGTAATTGCCTTCAATTGATATTTTTCGTCGCCCAAACCCATATACGATCAAAATGATCGCGCTGTCAAACTATCTTTCAATGTTAACCAACCCCCGCAACAGGTATATTGGATTCGACCAATACGTCACGAAGACATTGTTGACATCGACTCTGTCGAAATTACAAGTAAATTTTCAAATTTTTCAAGAGAGAAATTGTTCTCATCGTTGTGATAATTAGTTGTGCAATGGATTTTATCGAACGGGAGTTCATTGCAAACACACAGGTAAGTTTATAATAACCAAAGTTAAGTAGTTTGTTCATAATCGTAGAAATCCGTTTAAAATTTACGATGAATCAGACAGTAATTTAATATGCTAACGCAACTGCCACACCCGGGTGTGGCTACCGGTATTTATCATCATACATGTAATTTTCTCTTGTTGCCATAGTATTTTTCCTATTTCTCCCCGCAAACTGATTTTTTTTCTAAAAGTCCATGGTTATAATATAATATAGAGCGAAGCTCTAAAGCATCGCGCAAAGCGCGGTGCTTGAGCAAAGCTCTTTTCCGGTAACACAGGAGCGTAATTGAAAATGTCACCCACAGACTGTTGATTAAAAAAAAATTCAGACAGGAACCGGATACACTGGGGAAAACAGGCAATGCGCATGTCTGTCAATGCGCATGTCAGCGCATGTCAACTTACCAAATCTCGCCCCTGCGAGATTTTGGGTCTCTAAGAAATATTTCTATGACGCGTCGAATAAATGACGTCAGATAATTTTGACGTCAATGATAATCCTCACACCTTTTTGTTCTTTTTTCAATTGGGGAAACTTTATTATGAAGGTTTTATTTGACAACAATCACATCAGCTTCGCTCTACTCAGGCAAGGCCTGTTACACATTATAAATCTCCATCTTGATCTAGCTGTCATGCCAACATTCGATTCTCACCTTTTACCAGACGATTCCACTGTTTGCAGACTTGGCTGGCATTTTTGATGTCATTGTAAGGAGAAATTTTACTCAAAATTAATTCTAACAGTTCTTCTGGTAAATCATAAATAAAAACCGGTTGGGGTTGACTCATCTCCATGTTCTAATTCATGCCATTAAGTTGAAAAAAAATTCTGTAGAATGGACGAATTATTCAACACCGAAATTGTAAACATTGGATTTCTAAAAACAAGTCCGGTAATTATAAAAGATAGTAAACGAATAAAGTTTCCCTACAAACTTTTAAGAAAATAAATCAGTAAAAATGATTGATAAGTAATATATTTTAACCTCTGTAAAATACGGGATCTGTACAAAAGTTTAACTTTTGAAAAAGAAAAATTGCATCTAATATCATCTAATTTCATGAATTTTCGTTCTCTGTTTATGTTACAGTAAATTTTTATAACCCGAAGATAAAGGGAGCCTACTCTTATTTATTTTCCAACTGACCAAAAGTACCTCCACTTGTGAAAACCGCTTTTTGTGTTGACATTTTTCTGTAGTCAATATGTGTTCTTTCATCATGCAAATCATATCCACGTGAGCAAGTGAAGATATTTATTTCTATAATTTAAGGTTACCGGTAGGTACAAACAATTTTTTTTTAAACTTGAGAAAAAATTGTCCATTCCAAAGCCAAACAAACGATAGTGGGCGTGGCACAATACAGTCTCATATTTTTTTAACAGGCTTATTTTAGTGTAAAAGTGAATATTTAAGTGATTTAGATCGTTGAAAAGATTTATAATGAGAGACTGTTCTGAATTTTCATTCAGAATCATACATGTACCCCATGGCCACACAGATACACGTAGATAATGTTGAAAACGTTTTGGGTTTTCAGACTCCTCAGAAACGACGGAATAATGACAGTTCAGACTTACTTATAGATGATTCAGACTCAATAATAATGAGGTTTCGGACAATAATAAATGATGACTAAATAAAAATTTTTTAGTCATCAGTTGTTTTAGTTTTATCAAATAGTAAACAAGCTTGAATGACTGATCACATCCGAGATTAGTTTACTGATGTTTTTATGACAAAGTAGCCTTGTATTGAGTGCTGATTGGCTTTCTGATCTGATATTTAAGAATGCTTTAACATATTAATTGTGTAAACTTAACGGTATGTCTTCCTGTACATTTACGTGAAACTGAATAATTGCAATCAACATGCCACGTTTCAACTGATTCTTTGGTCCCAACTATCATGCAAGTGTTTCCCAAACGTCACCTTACCGAATCCAGAACGTTGGGACATATTTTTGTTCAGCCCGAAATATTATTGCCCTTGCCCATTTCTTAGACTCTGGGTAAGAATTCAAGCCACAAAAGTTGCCATTCTAATAATGAAACGTTGAAGCCTGTTGTTTATTTGAATGGGTGTGCGCTAGACTTTAAAACAAACCATTTTATTGTATTTTGTAATTTCTTTTTTTCACAGAGCCAGAACTCTGAAATTTGTCAACATGGATCTAAAAGAAGTTTGTGTTAAGTTAGACGAAACACTGATAGAATTCTTCTCCGCCGTTAAACAGCTGTACCAAGAGCAAGCTGTTCTAGAACAATACATGAAAGATGGCTACCTGAATCTCTCTCGAGCTCGTTACAACATGGGTCTTAACGCTGTAGGCGTTTTACAGTTCAACCAAAATGCGATGACAGCTTTGACAAAAGTCGATGTAAATGAAACAGAAAAGAATTCTTCAAAACCTTTTGAAATCACATCATCAAAAATCCAAAAACCTACAAAACAAAATGAAGATGGTGGATTGAGAAAAAGAAACACTGGAACGGATAATTCAGAAAAAATAGAAAATATCGGAACGCTTAAAAATGATGATTTAGACAATAAAGAGGGGACTGTCATTGACCCTATTAAATGGTTTGGTGTTTTGGTACCACAGAATTTACGAAAGAGTCAATCTAGTTTTAAACAAGCCGTGGAATCGGTTGTGACGATTGCCAATTTAAAACATTCTATTACCAATCTGCAAACCGAATATAGATCTCTGTTGGAGAAAAAATCTAAAATGTTAAAAAATGCATCTAATGAAAATTGATAAAGTATGTTGAGTTTAGTTTTAGAACCATTAACTTGGTTATCTGCAATTCGACATGAAACTTGACATGCTTGTTATTTGGATAATTGCTCATGGCTACATTTACACAGACTTCGATTAATTCCAAGATAGCTAGTGCAATGACGTCATGGTGGGTTCAGGGTTCATATAGTGTGTTTGTACATTTTGTATGTTTGTACATTTTGTATGTTTATATATTGGACTGCATGAATTTAGGATATATTTCTAGATTTGAACAAATTATGGTATTATGGTGCTTGTATGCATCTTATATAATTAATATTTTTAATGGATAATATGTATTAAGCATTTGAATTAATGATTGTTCATACCCAGTAAGTTGTAGACGGTCATAATGTTAATAATATGTTTAATTTATTGTAATTAGAGAAGTGTTGTTTCATCAAATAATTATATGCTTTATTGAAATGTTTATTTGTTGAGCAGTTAAAGATACATAAGGTACTTGTTTCCAACCAAAGCATGGTGCACTAAAATGTAAGGTTATCACGAGCTGTTAATCATCAAATCAAACAGATTTTATGTGGGAGGGCATCTTTTAATGGTATATTTTGATTATTGTCCCCCGCCTTTCGAAGAAAGCAGGGCCCTATTAAAATGGGTTCGTCCGTCTGTCCGTCCGTCTGTCTGTCCGTCACACTTTTTGGGACACAATAACTCTCTTTCTAATTGAGCTAGAATGTTGAAACTTGGTGTAGGTGTTTATTAGGTCAATGCCTTGATCGAGTTCGAAGATGGGCATTTTCTGCTTAGGGTAAGCAGAGATTAGCAATTTGATTGGTTGATGCTTTGGGACACGATAACTTGAGTTCTAATTAAGTGAGAGTAATGAAACTTGGTGTATAGTTTCATTACATCATTACCTTGACTAAGTTCGATAATGAGCATTTTCTGCTCAGGGTAAGCAGAGCGATAAGCAATTTGATTGGCTGAGACTTTGGAACACATTAACCCTCCTTCTAATTGAGCTAGAATGTTCAAACTTGGTGTAGGTGTTTATTAGGTTAATGCCTTGATAGAGTGCGAAGATGAGCATTTTCGACTTAGGGTAAGCAAAGATAAGCAATTTGATTGGTTGATGCTTTGGGACACAATAACTTTGGTTCTAATTAAGTGAGAGTGATAAAATTTTGTGTATAGTTTTATTACAACAATACCTTGACTAAGTTCGATAATGAGCATTTTCTGCTCAGGCTCAGGGTAAGCAGAGCGATAAACAATTTGATTGGTTGAGACTTTGGAACACAATAACTCCCATTCTAATTAAAGCTATAATGTTCACACTTAGCGTGGGTGTTTATTAGGTGAATGCCTTGATAGAGTTCGAAAATGAGCATTTTCTGCTTGGGGTAAGCAAAGATAAGCAATTTGATTGGTTGATGCTTTGAGACACGATAACTTTAGTTCTAATTAAGTGAGAGTGTGGACACTTGGTGTATAGTTTTATCTCATCAATACCTTGAGTAAGTTCCATAAATAAGCATTTTCTGCTTATGGGTAAGCAGAGCGATAAGCAATTTGATTGGTCGAGACTTTGGAACACAACTCTCCTTCTAATTGAGGTACATGTAGAATGTTCATACTTGGTGTAGGTGTTCATTTGGTGAATGCCTTGATGGAGTTGGATGATCAACATTGTCTGCTTACGGTCTACAGAGATAAGCAATCTGATTGGTTGATGCTTTGGTTCACGATAACTTTGGTTTTAATTAAGTGAGAGTGATGAAACTCTGAGTATAGATTCATTATATCACTACCTTGACTAAGTTTGTTGATGAGAATTTTCTGCTCAGGCTAAGGATCGATAAGCAATTTGATTGGTCAAGACATTTTTGGTACATAACAACTCTGCTTTTAACTGAGGTAGAATGTTTAAACTTGATGTAGATGTTCATTAAGTGAATGTCTTGACTGTGAGTTCAATGACTAACATTTCGAGTTAAAGCTAAGCAATTTCATTGGTCGATGCTTTGGGACAAGATAACTTTGATTCTATATGATAGAGAGGGATCAAACTTAGTGTATAGGTGATAATTTGTTTGATTGCTTGATACTTTTGAAAAAAATAAATGTGTCATCTATTTATTTTGGGATTTCGGCGGGGGACATCAGCCTCACTGTTGGCTTGTTATTTATCATTATTCTTATTCATATAATACTGTAAAATAACTTTTTCATATGCTGCCATGAGTTAATGATTCATGTTACCATAATTTTGTTATTTATATGCTATTTTAAGATTCTATTATTATTCATACATGTATGTTACCATGAAGTGATTATCCAATTGTAATCATGAAATGATTATCTATTTGTTATCATGAAATGATTATCCATTTGTTATCATGAAATAATTATTCATTTGTTACTATAAAATGATTATTCATTTGTTACTATTAAAGAATTATTTGTTTTATAGTACAAGATAAATTGTATAAATATACAATAGAAATTTACAATAAGGTAGTCATTCATACATATATATGTACAATGTATGTTATAGTAGCCTATGAGAATAGTGCATATGTACAATGCATGTTATAGTATGAGAATAGTGCATATGTACAATGTATGTTATAGTAGCCTATGAGAATAGTGCATATGTACAATGTATGTTATAGTATGAGAATAGTGCATATGTACAATGTATGTTATAGTATGAGAATAGTGCATATATATGTACAATGTATGTTATAGTAGCCTATGAGAATAGTGCATATGTACATTAATTATTCATATGTTAAAGATACGTGTGATTTGATGACATATTTGGGCTAAAAAAATATTCAAATTAATTAATCCATCAAAAATTTGCTTCAAATCCTTCTCAAAACTTTGTATTCCTGAGGAGATACCTGAAGCTATAAAAAATTTATATTAGAAGCCAGGTTTGTCACCTAACTTGATTGAGTGAGGGCCCATTTTTCAGAATGTATTTTTGTCATTACTTAATGTCTATTTACCATACATATTCAGGCCTAAGTAAATTCTTGAATTATTTTCTGCCAACTTCTTTTTCCACTGTTTAATTGCAGAGTCCTTTATACGTTTACACCCCTCAATGTTCCCAAAACCGCCTAACCATTTGATCAAGAAATAATAACCGCTCCCTCAGTCAAGCTGGCACACAATAAGCTGGCAGACAACAATCAGGTTGCCAGTTAGTGATACCCTGACATTTTTGCTTAGTGCTTGCCCCATGGGTGTTATTCGAGTAATCCAGTATTGTTCTAGTTGAGTTTGGGCATTTATGCTTTCAATATATACCAAATTTATCATACATTTATTGGAAATAAGCACTCCATAAATACTTTGTGAGAATGTATTTTTAACATAAAATAATTATTTATTTAATACTACATTATATGCTACTATAAGATAATTATTATTTATAAAAGTTCAACAGCAATATAACAACAGGATGGTTTTATATATTTTGTCAACTGTAATAATATATAAGATTGTAATAAAAGTACTGTTTATATATATGTTTATTATTAGTTTCCATACAATGACTGATAATATTATTCACAGTGTAAGAATTGAAATACACTGACTGATAATATTATTTGTTTATATGTTTATTATAAGTTTCCATACAGTAATTGATAATATTTTTCACAGTGTAAATATTGACATGATGTATTAGTTTACACTGATTGATAATATACAATGACTGATAATATTCTTCACAGTGTAAATATTGATATGATGTATTAGTATACACTAATTGATAATATACAATGACTGATAATATTCTTCACAGTGTAAATATTGACATGATGTATTTGACACTGATGCACCTGGAAGAAGAAAACTAACATTCAATTTTAGCTTAGCCTATTCAATTATTACACCAGGAGCTTGATAAATTGAATCAATTCTTTAAGACTTGCTACCCTAATAAGGAATAGGGTTTCACCAGGTACTCTTAGTCCTAAAGATATATCTTGTATTGATAATCTGTAATAGATGTCTCGATGGTCTTCCGCAAAATCGATTAAGCAACTAAAAACCTTCCGCGAATACAAATCACACAGCAACAGCTCGTAGCCTGGAGGTCGGGTGTTCGATCCCTGCATTGGCCAAGAAAGTCCATCCAGATTTTCCGGCGTGGTTTCCCCTTGTCAGTGATGCAGGACGGAGGGCCTGACAAGGACAGCTGTCTAGTCCTTCGGATGATACGAAAAACCGAGGTCCCGTGTATATATTGGAATGCACGGAAAAGATCCCCTGGCAGTTGGAATTCGATATAAGAGTAGGCGATAGTGCCGCTGCCCGGGCAAAATTTCCCTCATAGCACACTGAATGGCATATGCCCGTCTTAATTAGCCCAGTCAGTGCTCGGATAGACATTAAAGTACTTTGCTAACACATTGGTGTGTGAATGTACAAGCTCCTGGTTAACACAATGGTGTGTGAATGGACAAGCTCCTGGTGATCCCTGTGATGTAGTTGAGCAGTATACTACAAATGACATCGCGTTCAATCATTCCCATCATTTGTCTGCGATACAACTAACTCATCAACATCATTCCCAATCTGCTAGTTATACCAAAGTTAAAACTTGCAACTTTTGGACAAAGAGCGTTTGCTGTTGCTGCTGGGGAAAGATGGAATTCAGTCCCAGTTTAACTTCGTTTTGTCTATCTTCAAATCCAACATGAAACATCTTTTGAAAATTCATTACAAAATTTTAAAAAAAATGAGAGCCAAAGAACTTTTGTATAGATCGTTTTTGATACGCTTTGAGTAGGCTTAGTGGTTTTGGCGAAACGTAAATGGACATATAGAAGAATTAATGGTTTATTTATATCAGATTCCCCATTGTTGTCTGTGAGTCCAATTTATGTGGTGTTTAGTTATATTGCTATTTTGCGAATTATGCATATACATGATTTAAAACTTGTGCTGTGTGTAAACTGAAGATTAGACCCGTGACATTAGAACAACAGTGATACAATGTCAGATCAATTTACTTGAATTAATTTATTTTTATAAAATAGAAATGCGGTTTAACGTCGTACTGTTCTACACCAACCTGACTAGTGAAGACCGACATAGTCATTGGAATTGCCGAAGTGCTGTTTTCTGGGGGTTGTAGCTTATTCCAACACTAACGACAAAAACTCAGATAAATAGTTAAAATTGTACTTTGATAAACGAGTGTCCAAGAGTGGCTAACGGTCACAATAACGAGATATGTATCGCTAGGGCGAGTCGGTCACCGGACTAAAGTTACAGTAGAATATAGAACATATATACAAGCTTAGGATTAAAATAATTATATAATAATATTTGATCAGAGATGTTAAATTGTAAATTTATAGGAAACAGATGTTTAAATACAGAAGAAGATATCGACATACCAAGATCGCGTGTCAACTATAATTACGTAATATATATCGTTACATTAAGTTTAAACCCAAACAGTTAAAAGACTTGAAAGATTAGTGAGATATCAATTCGGACATTGGTCAATTACTACCTTAACTAAAAGTATATCATAATAGTGACGTCGGACATTGTATCTTCAATCGCCAAAATGTAATAGGTCATGCTTTATGAGCCAATTATAAATTGTAATATGTCAGCCAATATTAAGCATATATACCCAAATCTCGGCAAGGTTTGCCTTTTCCATGATTTTAGGTCATTATGATTTGACACGCGGAATGATCTTACAAGCGAAGTCGTCCGTGCGTCTACCCAATATCACCTAGGTCTTGCGGCTGGACTCTTCTACGATTAATTGCGATTTCCACTTGTAGCCGTCTTACCTATCAGTGTGTAACATTAACTGCAATCACAATTCCCGTCCTTGATTTTAAATAGTTTTATAAGATTGTGAATCAAAGCACTTTAAGACTAAGTGGGTGGCGACTATGATTACCTTTCAAATGAATGCTATTAGCGATGATGTCTGGATAGGAAATGTATATAACTGTTCTGTTGATGAATATAACCGTGTAATTTGTGCCATAAATTAATGTTTAAATCCTTCATATCGGCGAGTAATCTTTTATATAAATATTATTACAGACCTTGTCTGTTTTCTTATAGATGTCAAAATTATCTTTCATGGCCAATTAGAGAGAGTGAGAGAGAAAGAGAGAGAGGGCGGGGAGGGTGCTGGACGCTCTTACAGCGTCCTGCAAGGCTGTCCTGTCTTTTCTAGAGCTATCGGAATTATCAAGTCTCTTAAATTTGAATATTGTACTGTAGCGAAATCTGATGAGCTTTCACACGCACACTGTCGGCTTAAATGAAGTAAATGTCTCTCCTAATGAATGAGATAAATAAACCACAGACTCAAGTCATTTACATCGACAGAACTAAAGTTAATTTAAAGAGACCATTTCTTGCCGGCCAGATTATCGTATTGGCAGTTATATATAATATATAATATGTCGATTATATATAATTATTTTTTTGTTTTATTGCATACGCTGTGTGAATGTATGTTTCGTTGTATGGCAACCGACCTTTTATGTCATTCTATAATGGGTTATTTAAACATCTCTATATTTCAGAATTTCAGGATGTTATTGACATTTGTTTCTAGGATAGTCCACTTTGTTATTGATTTTTCGTGTATTTATTTCCTTCGTTAAAATTTGCTGGAAATATTTTTTTTTTTTTGGTAATAAGTTGAGAATGAAGCACAATAAGTTAATAATACTCCGGTTATTCAAACCCTGAAACACAATTTCTGAGATTGAATCACGGACCTAAAGGCAGTGGCGGACCCATGTTTTGGTGTCCCGGAATGGGAGCCCTTCCAACCAGTAACTACGTCTTGATAGCCACTGTTAGCTACTTCAATAGGGTTGTTGCGTGACAAAAGAAATAAAAAACGAAATTAATCATCCACTCATCATATTCGTTATAATCATTAACTAAATTCCTAAGCCCGGATTCCACCAGGGATATCACCAGTTGATATTTACCTCTAACTAGCCTTGTAGCAATATCGTCGTTGCGACATTGTTTTAAATTTATAGACAAGGAATAGAGGAATACGATGGTTTAAACAACATTTTTATCTTTACAAATTATTCTCTATTGTCAGTATATTAGCTATGGTATGAGTTTATTTAAAACGCAAATTAATTGTTTATGTAATAGCGTGAGAATAATAGGAAATAGGGTCTGAGTTCAAGGATAGATTGTGTCGAAAAACATGTGACGGAAAATTACGATTGCATCATTTGGCTTGTTTGACCAATCTCTATACATATTTACATGATATTTGACCAATTAGATAATTAAACGTCCAAAACCCACAGCTACAAAACTATCATACTTGTGAGAATTCGTTAGACAACAGACAGATTCTGGAAGGAAAAAGATGTAACCATTTCTATCAGCAGACTCGCCCATATCGAGTCTGGCTGACTAGGGTTTGAGATTGACTTTAGTATTATAATTTATACTATGCTTATATGTATCCAGCTTGATATATAAAATGTAAAAACGAACAGTTGAATTGTTATAACAACTGAGAAGACAAACGTCTTACGAAAAGAGTAAGAAGTAAATACACAACGTGAATCAGAAGTAAAGACAGCTAGAGACAAACTCTAGTCGATCACAAGGCTACTAAGATATGTGGTAAGAAAAGATGCATGGGTCGTATGTAGGATGTTGCGACCGGGTTTTGGTATCCCCGCTTTCCACGTCAGACAGAAAGGCCCATGGTGCTACACCCCCCCCCCCTATTCTACGTAGTAACAGTTCCGCCACCTGTAGACCTAACAAAATTTAAAGGATTGTGGACACATTTTGCTTCTTGTACATCTCCACTCTAAAGCCCCGAAACTATATTAGTTTAAAATACAATTTTTTTATGGTTCTTAAAATAATCTATTTTTTTTTAGATTATAGGACAAATAAGAGGACACTGTAGGATGTTTTCGACGTACTTGTAGAGTTAACTCTAACTTCTACCTAGGATGATATCGCCGACAAAACATGGAATGAAACCAGAATGGTCACCCGATTGCAAGAACAATATTTTGTGTAGCTACTGCCATACCAAAGAATCAGAAAACTAACGGGAACGCCCACTGATTTGTAAAAGTTTGTCCTTGTTTTGGGACAAGCAATGAAATGATAACCCGATTTCGTTTTTACACGCAAAACAGCCAAACATAACAGAAATTTATTCTAGACATTTTGTTTGTTGTCGCGATCCTTGGTGTCAAAGACCGGCCTTCATCATCACAAAGTGGACCATTCCCATTAGTATTCTATGGTTAAACGTGTAATCTCTGCATAAAAAGTCTTACAATATATGTCAGGCCTGTAGCTGGCCCAAAATGTTGGGGGGGGGGGGCTGCTTCTGTGGGCGTCGATGTACCTACTGTTGACGGTCCACGGCGAACGACACCGTGAATGCGCATTCCTTCGGAGAAAGGTCTTAGGTCCCCCCCCCCCCCCAGAAAATTTTGGAAAATAGGATTTGCACCTGAGGAGAGGAATTATGAAAATGATATACGACTTTAGTGTGCATATATAAATTATGAGAAAAACGAAAAGTTCGAAATCGGTTTAGTTTACAACTTGTATGAATTTTGAAGTTTATCACGCCTGGTGTGGGCTTGAATCAATCCCATCCCCTTCGTGAATTTGACCTGGAAAATTTCCTGCAATCTCCGGTTGGCTTTCTTAGATTTCTTCCGGCGTCGGTATGCGGTCGGTTTCTTGGTTGGGCGCCCGTGGTCCGGGCATGGGCGAAAAAAAAAACAATCTCGGCATTATGGGCGCCCTGCGGCATGAGGCACCCCACCAAGCATGCCGTTTTGGGCGCCCAATTTATCAAGTCGTGGGCGCCCAACCAATCCTACTCGGCATTGTGAATTATGTGCCGTCCGACAATCATATATTGTCATTTATGAGGCTTCCACCAATCATGTCATTATGGGCGCCCCAGGGATAAGGCAACCCACAGATGATGTTAATCATGTGATTCATTATGAGGAGCCTCGCCATTTGGGGGTGCTTCATATATAGCGACATGATTGGTGAGGCGCCCATAAACCCAAGAGACAATGGTTGGGCGTCTCGCCAATACTGATATGGGAACGTTGGTCGTTGGCTTCGTATTGCGTCCAATGGAAAGGGCACTCTGATATTTTTCAGCAGGGGGGTGGGGGCCTGTATTTCATTTCAAACTGTCCATAGACTAGACGATATATAAGCAAGAAAGCAAATCAACCTGGCATGATATTCATGTATTGCATAGTCACGTGATACAGACACATTAATTTATATAAATAGAAGTCGTTTGTTTTTTATGGGTTTATTTTACTTTATTTTATCATCAATATTTAGACTGTATCAAACGTTAATTGGACATTAAGTTTTTAATCTGTAAAAAGCCCCGAGCTAAACCGCTGATAAAATGTCATAAATTAAATATATTTATAATACCGATCGACTGTTGACATGGCGGGAGATATAGAGATCATTTCATAAGTGAACTGCAGTCTTGAGCAACAGCATCTTCAATAGAAGGCTTGATCTCGCTTTAACTACGTACATCTTATCAAGGCTTTCACGTAATACCCTGCATATTTCGGCACTAATTTCGATTGGGTACAAACCCAGCTTGTGAGCCCATCAGATTCCCCGATCATCGCGAATAGCAAGTCGCGCGCTTTCAAGCAAAAATGTCTACCTGTGATAATCGAGTTGCAAAGTTGAAGGTTCGTTCAATGTCAAGGTTTCAGTGGAGGTCACTATGTCACAACCTCTGATTGGACTCTACTGTTCAAGTGTCTGTAGATAACGTTGGGGAATTATGAAGTAATCTAGCAACGTCTAGATGTTGTAAAACTCGCAGTTGTTGCTTCAGATGTTGTAAAACTAGCAGTCGTTGGTTTAGATGTTGTAAAACTAACAGTCGTTGCTTCAGATGTTGTAAAACTAACAGTCGTTGGTTTAGATGATGTAAAACTCACAGTCGTTGCTTCAGGAACATGGAGCAACAGCAAAAATCAAGAACTTAGCGTCAGTGTTGCCGTGGGGTCACATCCTGATTAATATAAATTCCCGAATATTACTAGTTGATTCATATGTCAAGCATCTGGACAAGCGTGGGTTTGACTGCGTGCGACAAGGGGGTAGGGCCACTGGCTTAAAACTTTTACTTTGTGTTTAGGCGATGTTTGACAGTGAAACAAGAATTGACAGAATTAAAACCGAGTGACACAGAATTTAGTTCCGTCACAGACCTGCGTGTCTAGATAATTTATCTGTAGTGAAATAAATGTGAGGCAAACAAAAATATTGTTTGTTGATCTTCGCATCCCTTGATGCCGGTTTCTGAGATTGGTTGGAGCTCGATTGTTCATGTTCTTACGATTGAGATGATTTTATTAGGGAACATTTTATAGGGTATCTTCACAGTCCTCCCAAAAGGCTGCTCGTGTAGCGCGGAAGATGGGACCAAATATTGTTCTCCTGCAAGGTGAGATTTATCCAGCTGTGAGCCAAGGTCAAATTTATAGAAATGTTTTCATGTTTCAGCATCCAATAAACTGAAATTAGTTCCAGAGAGGCCTCTGGTTCCATCGCGGATTTTGGCAGAGAAAATTCCCCACCCCACCCTCCAACCCTTGTCTGTGCTGCACTTGTTAAACCATCAACCATGTGTATGTATACTAACCGATACCGTGGACATCACGTTAAAGATCTACTTACAGACCGTAGCGCAGCTTTCAGAGTAATATTTACCTTGGTAGTACACTGCTTGATGCATGTCCAGCTTCATAATCTTTTAGTGGCATTTAGCGATCGGGGAACACATCAACAGAACACAGTTTTTATGGGGTACAATCACTAGTTTATTCTAAAAGCACGACGTTTCGACAAGTATCCTCTTATCGTTATCGTAATGATAAGAGGATACTTGTCGAAACGTTGTGCTTTTAGAATAAACTAGGGATTGTATCCCATAAAATCTGTGTTTTGTTTATTAGATACGACGTTAAACCCCATTTCATTTTACTACCTATATGGATACAGTTGTTGAATGACATTTAGATGTCGGGGCTAACAACAATATAAATTACCTGTATAGGTGAATGAAATCATAGTTTACAGATTACAAATAATTCTATACAAAAGAAGAATTTTATATTATGTGGTTTGTGTTACAATATTTGTGTACTTTACAAACAATAAATAATAATTATAATATTGCAGATCTTTAAGTCAAATATATTTTACTGTACATGTGTATTATTACAGAAATCATCAAATTAACACACTGTACATTAATTGGTACTGGTATATCTTGGCACTAATGTTAAAGATACATTATGTATGATGTAGATTAGTAGCTGGTCGTTCCTGCTATAATAGTTCAGAAAAAGATAATTAAAATGAATTTATTGAAAGTTTCATTCAAATAACTTTATTTTGAGCGAAGTTATAAGTGTTGGAAGAAGTAGCAATGATTGTTTATTATCGTAGGAACGCTACTAGAAACGAGATTAAACCTCACTTATCCATTTTATAGTTAAATTTTTAAATCTCGCTGGCGTTCTAATCCATTTAAATCTCTGCTATTTAAATGGATTAGTTAAATTTATGTGAATAAATGTCTAAATAATAGTTCATATAACATTTAAAGTTAAAATAAAGACCTGCTGAAACAGGTAGAATTAGCTCTTACATAATGTATCTAACAAGTAAACAAATAACGAAACTACACCAGGAATTCATCATTAAATTTAACAAAGTAAAGTAACAAGTATACTAAATCACACCGGGCTTTCCTCGTACTCAGATTAACAAAATGTAATCTAATATGTACACTAAATCACATTAGGATTTTCTTATACTGGGCCCTGTTTCTGGGAATTTTAACTAAAGATTAAATCCAAATTTTAGTAGATACTTCAATTTTAATTGGCTAAGCACTAAAATCAATCTAATATTATCCAATCAAATTACTAAAATTTGGATTTTATCTTAGTTAAAGTTTCGTGAAACAGCCCCCGGTTTACAAATAAACTGTCACTCTTAACGAAAACATCAAAATAATTAACTTTATATAACATAACACGTCATTATTAACTGCGACAAAACAGATCACAGTAAGAAAAGACAAAAACATTAAACAAATTTTAAATTAAATATATTAAATTTGGTATCATATTAAAGCCGACATCATAGTTAACCCTGCCCTGGACATGAGGAGGTCAGCACCACCTATATGTCGGGAACAAGTTGATCGTTGATATTTTGGTTTTATTTCTTAATGAAGTAATCAGTGTGAGTAAATTTGAGCGTACTTTTGTTCCTGAAATAACGATTAGAGATTTTAATAGAGGTAAGTTTATATACTATTCAAAAAAAGTAGGGGATATTTGATTTTGGGGGCATAATACTAAAATATGCAAATGACTACGAAAAAAGTCACTATAGAACCTAACAGAAGAAACATTTCCAGTTACATGTGACGCCCAAACGCACCAATAGCTACCGCATGGAATGCAGGTGATGCTTGGGATCATCATGGGGGTCCAACCCAAGATTTGCACGACTCTGACTTTGAATGTTACAGTCATTGTGGCATTGAATTCCAGGGTGGAAACATCAGTTTAATTGTTTTAGTGACCAGAAAACAAATTTTGATATGCGTCGGCTTACCCAAAATGAAAGGTTACGTGCCCTTGGCATGCTACAGATCGGCACAACACAGGCGGTTGTGGCGCGGACGATGAATGTTTCTCAGTCTGTCATAAGCAGGCTATGGTCCAGATACCGTGATACACAATCTGTACAGGACAGACCACGCTCAGGTCGACCAAGGGCGACAACTCAAGCCCAGGATCGATTTATCCGTAACTTGGCCTTGAGAAATCGTGTCATCACAGCAAATCAGATCAGCGCTCGTCTTCAAACAGACACTGGTGTGAGAGTGAGTGGCCAGACGATTCGGAATCGACTGCATAGGGGTCACCTTCGCGCCCGACGTCCTCGCGTGATCCCTTGTTTGAGAGATCATCACATTCAGGCAAGACGTCGTTGGTGTAGGGATCGTCAACACTGGGATAATCGACGCTGGAGCAATGTGATGTTTTCAGATGAGTCAAGGTTCACTGTTGATTTTTTGGACAGACGTAGGAGGGTGTGGCGTCGTCGAAACGAGCGCTTCCAAGACGTTAACGTCATCAGACATGATCGATTTGGGGGTGGTTCTGTTATGGTGTGGGGAGGCACCACTGTTGCTGGAAGAACGGCTTTACATGTTGTTGCAGGGCGTGTTACAGGCCAGTACTACCGGGACAACATCTTGGCAGTCCATGTTGTGCCGTTCGCACGACGTCATGGCCGCCGTTTCATCTTCCAGGATGACAACGCAAGATGTCACAGGGCCAGGATCGTTACAGGTTACCTCCAACAACAGAACATCACCACATTACCTTGGCCAGCACTGAGTCCCGACCTCTCCCCCATCGAGCATGTCTGGGACATGCTTGGACAGAGGTTACGTCAACGTCGTCAACGTCAACAACGTCCTGCCAATGTCCAAGAACTTGCTGCTGCGTTGCAACAGGAATGGGACAATCTGGACCAAAGTGACCTTAGACGTCTCATTAGGAGTATGCCACGTCGGATCAATGCTTGTTTGGCAAACAGAGGAGGATTTACCCGTTACTGACTTGGTTGTGATGCTGTGGTAACTTTGCTGTTTGACCCCGGGTATCATTTTACCCTTATAATGGTCAGTCTGTGCCTTACTTAGTCTAACGATCATTTGGAATAAATCGATGAATGTGAACTTCATTTCATTTTGTCATTTGTTTCTTCGTCAGTTTCATTAGGTGACTTTAATAACACTTAAAAATCAAATATCCCCTACTTTTTTTGAATAGTATATTATTTAACAGTTCTACCAATATAGATGGTGGAGATGCACGCGACTTGATCATTGACCAATTAGCATTCCAGATAGTGCCAGTGTTAACCCCATCACCGCGGCGAAATACCCACACTTGTTCACTACCATAGAAATGTAAAGTAAAATCATTTCCATTATTTAGATTTTAAAATCAATCACAATACTGTATCTGAGACATTCACGTCATCATCCGGGACTTTTTCCACTTCTACAGTATGTTCTGTAGGTTTAACAGATTCATCTTGTAATGGCTGTGATTGGTTGGAAGTTTCGTCCACCCTGATTAATGTCGAGCCATATGATTGGTCAACAGGATTATCTGTATTGGAAGCCACTGAATTCCTGAACACACTGGATATAGATCTAAACGAGGCCCTCTTGAACTGTTGAAGACGTCTAATACAGAATAGGTTGGATAATTTTCGCCTGAAGACGCTAATTTTAGTAGCATAAATAATAGGATTTAGAATACTATTTAATACACCGAACCCTAATAAATATGTAAATATTACGTTTGGCGAGACCGTCATCGTCTCTTCTACGTCTGAAATTACGACAATTAAGGTGAACGTCCCTGAAAAAGAAAATACATTTTACAATTTGACAAATATTATGTTCATCAAGGAATACATGCCATTAGTGGAAATGAAAAGAAATGGGGTTTAACGTCCTACTGTTCTGCTCCGAACTGGGCTAACGAAGATGGGCATCCGCCATACAATGTGCTATGAGGGAAATATTGCCCGGACAGCGGCACTATCGCCTACTCTTATATCGAATTCCAACTGTCAAGGGATCTTTTACGTGCACGCCAATGTGTACACGGGACCTCAGTTTTTGTCTCATTCGAATGACTAGACAGCTGTCCTTGTCAGACCCCCAATCCTGCACCACTGACAAGGGGAAACCACGCTGGAAAATCTCGATGAATTACATTTCTCGGCCAACACCGAGATCGAAACCGCGACTTTCAGACTATCTAGCCAGCGTCTTACGCACTTAGCCATAGTGACCCAAGAGGTTGAACAGATACAAAATACGGGTTTAAAGTAAGATCTTTGCTATACTCCCTATCGTAAGTGGTATCGTTTCGGCTAATGAGGAAGTTCTTGCCACTGTTCCTTTCAAGTTGCATTCTCTAGGAAATTCTGAGCAACTCTCTCGGCCAACACCGAAACCTCCTGGTTGGTGAACTAGTGCCTTATTCGCCGTGTCACTATAGTCCATAACAAAATGACTAATGTATTTGTCTAATAAACGTGATTTCCATGTTACATACTATTTCATTGGTCAGGGTGAAGTCTATCTACCAATAGCATACGTCCATGTCATGTCATTTTAAATAGAATATAAAACAGCTAATTTGTAAATTAATTAATCTGTCGTATATTCTTTGAATGGTATAATAGTGTGACATCATCACAAAAGACACTATTATGGATAACTGTGCAATTATATATTAACTGCTATTTGAATTAATCATTTAGCTACGATGTTAATATGCTCAAAATGTTTATTAATCGAATGTATTATTAATATTGTTTAAATATCCATATCTTACCGACTGGTCCCCAACAAAGAAAATAAGCCCCTACAATAATAAAGGCTGTTTTGAAGGATTTCCACGCCTTTATGGTTCCAGAATCCCCGGATACACTTGCCATCTGTGACGCCATAGCCGCTCTATGACGTGATGCTAGTATTATGAATATAATATATACCATGGTAATAACCCCACTTGGTATCGTAAACACCAGTAAGACAAAGATAAGATAACTCTGCGACATTATTCCGAAAAAATTACAGATTTCCAATATATCTCTCGTGCTCCATCCAAAGAAAGGCAACAAACCACACACAAGTGAACCAACCCAAATAGAAGCCTCGGCTATTTTCACTTTTCTCATGGTAAAAGCTCGGATATACAAATAGGGTTTAGTTATTTTTAAATATCTGTCATACGTAAGAGCCGTTAAATTAAAGACGGAGGCTATATTTACGGATATAAATAATCCAACCCGTAGAACACATTCTATATAGAATTTAAATTGTAAAATATTGTAGAAGAAATCATACACAACGAATATACCTATGGCCATATCAGCGGCAGCTAGATTAGCAATAAAATAGTTGGTAGGTTCTTGTAAGTCTGTATGTTTCACTAATGTTACTACGGCTAATAAATTAATTAAAATAATAAAAATACCTAATATAGCTAGACACAGATTTAATGCAAAGTCTTGTTTAGTAACACAATGATAGTTTAAACTAACAAACAGTAAATCTTTTGATCCGCACATCTTGCTGCTTCGTTGACTAAATCGGCTCCGAAAATAAACTCTAGCGCTCCGTTAACTCTAGAATACCAGCGTGTCCAATTCGTTGCAAAAAGTATTGATATGGGACGACCCCTGTGTTTTTTTCAGTGGAGACTTATGTAACTGGCATGTCCATGTTATTTCGACTATCGAATTCTCGCAATCGCCTTTGATTCACAAAATATGTTAGTTGCAAATGAATCGGGTTCATCTATAGGAGTCTTTCTTAATATATATTGCTTGACTCTTAGAAGCTGGTACTCTAATAATTGCTGTAGAAAATCTATTTATATTAAATTCTAACCATTTTCACTCATCTCTACTACGACATCTGGTATCGCGTGACAGCTGGCCGAATATATATTGTTTGGTTCTCAGAAGCTGAAATCCTAATAATTGTTGTACGAAAAATATTTATGTTGACAGCTAGCCACTTTACCCCCACCTCTATAAAATCTAGTATACATCTGACATTAGTTCACCGAGTTAGGATGTATCTTAGCATGTTCCGTGACAATTCACCGTAATTGGTAGGTTTCAACTTGTCACATTATCATCATATAGATGTACAGACTGTAGAGCTTCCGTAATGATAGGTTTAAATATATCTTTATTACAAGTATGTCGTTCGACCACGGGTCATCTATATGCAGGGTTATTGTACCACGTGGATTATATGACTCACACTCGTATCCTGTAATATATAAGATGACAAACATATCAGAAAAGAGCCAACATCGTTTTCAACAAGAAAACAAATATGTGTAAAGAAAGAGGGTATTTGTAGCAACAGTGCTATAGTTTGTGTTAGGGTTATGGTAACTTTTTATTGATCATCAGAGTAGCTTCAATGAGCTCGGGTTAGGTCATCAATGAACTAGACTCAAAGGTATTTACGAGGTAAGCGTTATTCATAAATACCGCATTTTCGAGGTTATTAGAAAACACCGTGATTACAAATAACTTCGTCGAGGTTAATGTTATTAGAAAACACCATGTTTACAATTAACGTCGTCAAGGTTAATGTTATTAGAAAACACAGTGATTACAAATAACGTCGTCGATATTAACGTTATTAGAAAACACCGTCATTACAAAAAACGTCGTCGAGGTTACCGTTATTAGAAAACATCGTGATTACAAATAACGTCGTCGAGGTTAATGTTATTAGAAAACACCATGTTTACAAATAACGTCGTCGAGGTTAATGTTATTAGAAAACACAGTGATTACAAATAACGTCGTCGATGTTAACGTTATTAGAAAACATCGTGATTACAAATAACGTCGTCGAGGTTAATATTATTAGAAAACACCATGTTTACAATTAACGTCGTCGAGGTTAATGTTATTAGAAAACACCATGTTTACAATTAACGTCGTCGAGGTTAATGTTATTAGAAAACACCATGTTTACAATTAACGTCGTCAAGGTTAACGTTATTAGAAAACACCATGTTTACAATTAACGTCGTCGAGGTTAATGTTATTAGAAAACATCGTGATTACAATTAACGTCGTCGAGGTTAATGTTATTAGAAAACACCATGTTTACAATTAACGTCGTCGAGGTTAATGTTATTAGAAAACACAGTGATTACAAATAACGTCATCGAGGTTAATGTTATTAGAAAACGTCGATGTTAACGTTATTAGAAAACATCGTGATTACAAATAACGTCGTCGAGGTTAACGTTATTAGAAAACATCGTGATTACAAACAACGTCGTCGAGGTTAATGTTATTAGAAAACACCGTAATTACAAATAACGTCGTCGATATTAACGTTATTAGATAACACCGTGATTACAAATAACGTCGTCGAGGTCAACGTTACTAGATAACACCGTGATTACAACTAAAGTCGTTGAGGTTAACGTTATTAGATAACACTGTGATTACAAATAACGTCGTCGAGGTTAACGTTATTAGAAAACATCGTGATTACAAATAACGTCGTCGAGGTTAACGTTACTAGAAAACACCGTAGTTACTAATAACGTCGTCGAGGTTAATGATATTAAAAAACATCGTAATTACAAATAACGCCGTCGAGGTTAACGTTAATAGAAAAACATCGTAATTACAAATAACGTCCTCGAGGTTAATGTTATTAGAAAACATTGTGATTGCAAATAACGTCGTCGAGGTTAACGTTACTAGAAAACACCGTAATTACTAATAACGTCGTCGAGGTTAATGTTATTAGAAAACATCGTGATTACAAATAACGTCGTCGAGGTTAACGTTACTAGAAAACATCGTGATTACAAATAACGTCGTCGAGGTTAATGTTATTAGAAAACATCGTGATTACAAATAACGTCGTCGAGGTTAACGTTATTAGAAAACACAGTGATTACAACTAACGTCCTCGAGGTTAATGTTATTAGAAAACATCGTGATTACAAATAACGTCTTCGAGGTTAAATAACACATTCCAAATATACAATTATACCATAACAACTACGATCGTACTATTGACCAGGAACTGACCATCTTGTTGGATGAAATTCAAAAATCTAATTCACCAAATCGATACAGAATTGTTCAAAGAACATGCATGCCATTTTTCATGTCGATCGTTATCTAATCTTTTAAGATGGCTTCGTCTGTCTTGATTTTCGACATGGTTTGTTTGTCATCGGAAATTAGATGGAGAAGATGAGTAGCGGTTAGCGACCAGTTCCAGGTCAACCAGTTATTGGTTCATAACTATGTGAATTAATTCATCAAATGAGATGTGATACCAGAGCTGATGTTTAGTCGAACAATTCCTATCATTCTCGGGTAATCCCCAGACCTCACGACAAATTTGATACTGTCTTCATCCCAGACCCCGTCCCACCCCTCCAAACGTTAAACGCCATTCCAGTCCATCTCCTTTCTAAAACAAACGACGACAAAACCACGTTATCCGGGTGAACTTTTTAAATATATTTAAAACGGACAACAAATAAAAATGCTCGAAGAATATTGTAAATATTTACGAGTTTAAATAATTTCATATGACAAACAAATCATGTCGAATAGAATAAATTCAGACAGACGAAGCCATCTTAATGGAGTAAATAACAAGGATCATGAATATTTCTATTAAATAATATTGACAAATGACGTGGGTTTAATAATCTTACGTCTGACATTTTGTCAGTTTTAGTCATTGTTATTGTATAACGGAATTGATCCCGCTGAATTCCAAATTCAATCGTGTGCGTGATGTCGAAGCTTGAAAATACCATTATATAAACCTTAAGATCGTATGATGGTGTTGTTCAGAAGTATAAAGCCTAGCCCACAACACTACCGTGTAAGCGGACGTTAAGCAGCTATTTCCCACACACACCACCGTAAGTGTTTTGACACGCACGGGTCGTATGGTTTGGTAGCGCACAGGTCAACCACAAGAAACCGGGGTGACAAGTTTGTATCTGCAGGACCAAAAGTGTCTATGGCCAGTCTGCCATCTTCTACGGTCCCGAACAAACGCAAATGTCGCGGAAGTAGACCGCCCGTAGTAGCACGTGCAACGGGTTAGAGCTAGGCTTAAGGTGCCCGTTGCAGATCTTTTTCATTAATACTGTTTTGGTACGTGTTGTTAAGGTAAAGGCGGTCGTCGTACTAAGCAACACATGGTATTACTTGTTTCCTAGAAATATTTAGCTCTAATGGGCAATTCATTGAACTATCATCCCCGGTTGGTTCTCGAGCTAACCAGTCTCTATCAAAAAATGACATGAAATGAAATGGGGTTTAATGTCCTACTGTTCTGGACCGATTGGGCTACTGGGATAATCAGTGTGGAAGAGCAAGTAAACACATAATCATTACGTCAATAACCCCCGTGCACTTATAATCATAACATCAATCACTGCCGTGTAAAACCATGGGCTATTATTATTCTAGATGAGAATTGATGGCTAAATACCAGTAAAAATTTCTAGCCTCGGACATAAAAAACATGATCGAAGTCTTAAGAAACTTATCATTATGTTTGTACACACCCTGACCAAACAAGAATCCCAAAGAATGCTATAAAATTTGCGCATATAAAGACGGATTTCTCCATTGGCTCAAAAATACAAAGGGAAGCCCGCGTGTAAATTGATTTTGTAGAAATGATCCAATTTCTAAAAGGAATAAAGTTATGTTGTCTGTTTCGATGAATTGCACACAATTTAAAAGTTGATCAATATATTGTCTATATAAGAAAACTAATTAATGTTCTGGAGATGAATACATTCATCCAAATATACAGAAATTTAAAAAAAAAATCCGCAAGTTTCAGATTTCTTGATTTATTACTTTCTCAGACGGATTTTAAAGAATAACCTCAAATGCTATACGATTTCTAATGTTCAAAGATTTCTAAACTTTGCTATATTTGAAAAGTATTCATTAACGCAATTTTTACCCAAATTTTTAACGACAACATTTAATATCTTTCTGGGTAGGAATATAAAAGACACTATGAGACAAATATTGGCAGAAATAAAGAGCGTACAGCTCTATTCTTTGAAATCTTAAAATGGACGGAAATCCGTCTAGAAACAGACTTTGATGTAATATGAAGGTATATATAAAGTGATTTATAGTACATTCTTAAATATTGGATATTAGGATCCCATATTTTCAAGACAAAATAACAGCACCAATATTGATTGAAATGGACCAATATTGGTATTATTTCACGTTTTTGATTTCGAATTTTATGGAAAATATTGTGTTAGAGGATTAGCTCCTTTAAGTTCACTGCCAAATTGAAGATAATTATATTTGAAAACGTGGTATCAGTCGTTTACAATAATATAAGTAAATGAAACAACTATCTACAATATTATAGGTCTCCATATCAATAAATAATTAGTTACAAGATGCAGGGTATGTTTACTTTTTCTAAAACACCTGATACCACCTAGTCTAGATATATAGTATAGATAGGTATTGTACATGAGACAGTGTATGCTTACTCTTTCTAGAACACCCGATACCACTTCATGTTTAAGGAACTCACATAAATAACCAGTTATTGCACATTAGTTAATGGACCACAGAAACAACTGTTTTTGTACTAAACGTACATCAAAGGACGTTCTGTGCGTATTTTTTCAAACGTAAGCGGTAATCGTGATTTGGCTTCAGGGAGAACTTCCAGATATATTTCAGTGAATAAAACTGGTTAATTTTGAACCATTAGAACCCTTAAATCTAGTCCCAATAAAATATTATATGAGCGATACGTTTTCGTGTGCAGTTCTTTTTGGCTAGCAAATCACCTAGTATCCGACAGATCCGTGTGCAGTGGTAACTCTCCATTTACAGTGGTCTGTTTTATTTCGTTTTTCATTTTCTGTTTTTGGTTTATGTGTTTTATTCCATCGATTAAATAATTCTGAAGTTTTCATGTTTTATACTTTTTGGTAAAATTTAAAAAAACGCCTTTGAATGGTGACGTTTGGAGCAATGATTTCCAACCGCTCACTATTGTGATCTGATACTTGTAAAATAGACTATTTTTAACATCTTGCATTTACTTAAACAACCGAGCAAAACATTCTCGCATAGCATAAATTTCAACCTCTTCTTGCCAGCACGCAAAATAAAATATACTTAGCATCAATATACATATGATTTGGCTATCCCAATGAACGGGTTTGCATATGGGTTGATTAATCATCCTATCCTATTTTATTAACGCCTAGAAGGGAATAATAATAACTAAATAAATCGGCCTAAACAGTGATAAAAGGCAACCCGTTTTACCGTACAGTAAATCTATGACCTACATCATATGGACATAAAGGCCCACTTTCCAGAACATGCGTATCTTGGTACGGTGCTTTTCTTTTACACTCGGTTATCCACGTGGAGTTATCTCGATTGTCCCTGGGTTCAAAACTTCCGTCTGCGTCGTGGACGTATGTTTCGCCAGGGTTAGGGTTTGGGTTAGGGTTAGTGTCTTGTCATCTGGCTATTTAACAAAAGCCCCGTTTTGGCTTTTATTTTCCCATGATGGAGTTCATCAATTTACCGAACGGTAAAAACGGGCCACCGTTTACATCCGTACAGACCGATTTATGTTGTTATTAAAATCCCTTTCTAGGCAGTAATTAATTGACTCTGTATGTGAAAAACACAAAACAACTTGTCTATCAAAATAAGAATGGCAACAGGATCACAAAATCGATTACAGTGATAAATTATACGATATCGATTATACGATAGTTTAGATAACAAAATAATATTGCTTATTATCTGGTTTATTTATCTTTCCGGAATTACCAAGATTCCAAAATGTAGTCAAATTGCCCACAACTAAAGTTAATGGCCCAAAGCGAAAGAGATCTGAAATTTTGCACATTCCATTTTCGTCTGAATATTTTGAATACAATACAGTGACCTTGAATAACCGTATTACTGCCAATAACGTGCTAAAAATGGGTAAAGGTAGGATACTCAAAGGTAAGATTAATGGAACACGATCATTTCTGTAACGCTTGTCTGATACAGTATGTCACGGCGCAATGATCAGGAATCGAACAAAAAATTTTTCATTTTAGTCTGGGTGTTAAATAAGACTCTTTACCACTGGACTCATTCAATACCCAAATAAAATAAAATGAAATGGGGTGAAACGTCCTACTGTTCTACCCCAACTGGGCAAATAAAGACGGGCATACGCAATACAGTGTGCTTATGAGGGTTATTTCGCCCCGACACGGGATTAGACAACTATCCTTCTCAGACCCTCTGTCCTGCATCACTGACAAGGGGAAACCACGCCGGAAAAATCCTGGTGATCTTTCTCGGTATACCCAAATGTTTGTGGGTACCGGTCGGTAGGATATTGCATGTTGCCAGAGTAACATTATAGAGAATGACATGCAAGTCTCTGAGGAATAAAAGAAAGTTGCACGAATATAAATAGAATGACACTACTTACTTTAGTTTCAAGAGAATGAAATAAAATGGCGCTACTTACTTTAGTTTCAAAAGATCTCGATTCCCACAGGTATCTTGATTTCACTAGATGATATAACTTGTAGCTTTACCTTTCCATCACATACTTACGCCAGGAATAATGTAGATCGCTGAAACGAGATTAGATGGAAATAATTGGTGTACCCAACAAACTTTAGTGTGTATAAGTGCACTATGTATTTCAGATATTCAAAAAAGACCGATAAAAGTTTTCAATTTTCTCAAAAAGCACAGATATTACAGATTAATAGTTTTTCAGACGACTGCCACTAAAAACTATCGGCGAAACGAGATGAGTTAGATACGTAAACAATAAAACTTCAGAATCTCCCAATTTCACAAAAACAGATCATGTTCTTTCTTCACACACTTTGGCTGAAGGCCGAAAAGCAAGATTAGTAGGGAATTATGTCAGCGAAGACGAAATTTCAGAAACCTCAAAAACAATTGACCAAAGTATTCAGGTTTCGGAAAAACTGAGTGTGTTCGATCGCTACAGAAAATAAAAGGAGAGTGAAACAGGTTTGAGAAACGAGATATATATATTATGCAAGTGAATTCTGGAATTTTTAGGTCATTATCTCACAGTGAAACCACCCATCACGCTATCCTAAAACAATCGATGCACATGTCTTGTATTCCATCTTTTATTGTTGTCTTAAGAAAGAAAGATAATCAAATACAAATACAAGTCTGGAGGGTAATATATGTGGACACTTTTCTCTTTCTGGAATGTAATAGAATCGGGTTTAAAGCCTCGTCAACACAATACTTGGTAATTTAATTTCCATGGTTTCCTGTTCAATGCGAGGGAGATCAGTTGGATCGAACGGCGGCCCCTTTACAACAACCAAGAATACTTATAGGTTCACATGAATGTGTACACACGATAACCTTCACTGGGCATATTTTTCTTGTCTACCCACAGGTGAAACGCCTGAAAACTAATGACCTGTCTTGACAAATCACGAAGTTTCTTCTCGACCTGGGAGCTGCGGTGACTCAGTGAGTAGAAGGTTGGTTCGCTAACCTGTTAACATCGTTCAGTTCAGAATAAAGTAATTTGAATGAAATTTTGAATATATTCATTTTGACCTACCTATTATAGCAAGAACGACCAGATAAAATGAACCTGATAGAATGCATCTATAAAGCCGTATAAAATATAATTCCCGATGTTTCTATTAACACCAGGGTATTTTCTGGGATGAGTTACAGGATTGGGGTGACAGTTATTCAAGCCGGTGATTAAATCACACAATATCGCTACAACCTGACGAATAGAATGCATCGGTGATTCTTTAAGATTATAAAACTTGGCGGTACTATCTGATTCATCTTGTCAAGTATCGATCAATATTCTAATAGATCTGATTTTAAAAATTAAAGTTAAAATCCAGGGAGACTTTCAAAATCTATTTTTGTCGTTCATAGATGTTATCGTGTCAGCCCATACTGCATGCTATGGATTTATATTACGATTGAATCTAATGTATTTATAAGAAACTACTTTTAATACAGAAGAGTTAGTAAAATTGAAGCTCAGTGAGATGAACCAGAATAGTACTCGACAAGTTTAATATTAAAATAGATCTTTGAAATTTATTTTTGTTCATGATTGTGCAGCTGTGAATCAAAGGTACAAAAACATACTATTGAATCATTTTACCCTTCTCATTGAATCATTTTACCTTTCACATCGAAGGTTTTTACTCTTCTCATTGAAAGATTTTTTCGTATTATTTTTTTTGATTAGATTCTCTTTTATTGGAACGTGTGTAAAAAAGAGTCACTTTTATAATTATTCTAAGTGGTGGGGCGTCCTGCTCGCCACCCCACCCCTTGACCCGTCCTGCTCGTCACCACACCCCTTGACCCGTACTGCTCGCCACTCCACCCCTTGACCCGTCCTGCTCGCCACCCTACCCCTTGACCCGTCCTGCTCACCACCCTACCCCTTGACCCGTCCTGCTCGTCACCACACCCCTTGAATACTGTATAGTGAGTGTACAAGTGCACATTCATGCAGGAAGTGGTTAGCCTATAACGTGCCAAAAGTAAATGAAATCTAGACTGAGAATAGTTGGTAGAACAAACCTAGTTTTCCTGATATCAATCACAGTTGAAATATATCAGTAGTACAAATCATACTGTAGACAATTAGAGCATTATACAGTTAAACCCATCTCAACAATAAAAATAATATACCCCACCAAATAGTAAACTGATAATCGGAATACATAGTGTGCCGGTTTTCATTGTTTAAGGCCCCATCACACATTTGTATATGTCACGAAATGTAAGTTTCAGTTTCTAAACAACTTAAATCCAATTATTGTGTTATGAGTGATTTACAATATGGAAGACAATTACTATTTTAATTAAGCAACGTTCAACATTTTCAAGCAGCAGAAAAAAAAACAACTGACGTGGGCTGATGTGGTATTTTCAAATAGCTAACAGTAGTTACTGGTGTACTATGGTAATTTCTACTTTTCGATATTTCGACTTTCGCGTTCTGAAGGGAAGAAAAATATATATTACGAATGGTAGTTATCGGTTTCCATAATATATAACTAACAAATACTAACGTACTGTGATATTTACACAAAGCCAAGTAAACTAACAAGTTATCACGAGGTTGCCGGCAACTAACTAATTTGAGGCTGCCATAGTTCAAGATATTGTGCTTCTTTAATTTCTAGAACACTTGATATCGCCTTTTATTTGTTTGGAAAGTTCACACTGGTAAAAAATATTAATAACAATCCCATATTGGTTTAGCGCAATGGAATTAAAACTATTGAGCTTTTCACGATTTCTTTATGGTCTATGGAAACGCCCCCGGTAAACAGGGAAGTCTCTAGTTGTAATTTAAATACGTTTAATGAGTCAGTGGTTTTAGTGTTGTAATGAGATGTATACCAGATAATGAGAAAGATCTCTTTTTTTACAGTAAACCTAAAACACCGCCAGCTATTTCAATACCAGCAATGTAGATTTTAACAAGGAACATGATAGTTTCAAGTATTGCTGAATATTCTTACTGTAGTGTCACTAATGGTTCACTTAAAATTTATTCATCAACTCGTCTGAGTGTCGGATATGTACGTGTCTAGGGTTAAAACATGCCAATTATGATTGGTTTCCTCAAAAAACTGTATATCGCTTTATCGCTGTTAGAAAGAGTTTGTCTTGTGTAATACCTTATATTAGCTGTGATGTTTTTTTTTATTCTAACGCACTTGTTGGCTAAAGTCAAACTAAACATATACTCTGTTTCAAAATTATTACTTTCATATTCAAGTTTCCCAAACAATAAATTATAAATTAACCAAATAAAATGAAACAGGGTTTACCGTCCTACTTTTCTGTATCACACGTTTTTCGTCCAATCCGAATGACTAGATAATGTCCGTTGCCAGGCCCTCTGGCTTGCACCTCTAATAATGGGAGAAACCTGGATGGACAAACTCGAGAAACTTACCCGTAGAACACCGGATTCGAATTGGGGACCTCCTTATCGGGTTAAATTCTGGTAATTTCCAGCAGAGCATATAATATAAATTTATACTCGGGCGTCATGTAAATGGAAGGATTTCGCTTACCCAGAAAATCAGTTTCAGCACCAGCAGACTGATTCATTTTATTTTTATAGTTCGGTAATCATTTGATTTACGTCCCAGCTTTATATATTATTCTAATATTGTAGACTGTATTAGTATAGGAAGTTGATGCATTGTTTCTCAGTAAAAATAAGACGGATTTCTGGTTTTCAGAGTATTTACTTTATTTGCAACAGCCGTAAGTCATCATGATTTTTCACTATGCCACATTTTATTCCACATTGCAAGGAATTACAGTTTCTAATTATTGTTCGGTTTACATGTTCAAACGCTACCAATGTCTACAAAAGTATATAAAACACGTGTTTAATTAAACCACATATCTTTACTGGCTGTATATCTTGGCGGGTAATTAATCATGTCATAAACAAGATCTGCCTTATCTTACGTGTATCTCTAACAAAACAAAACAAAAACAACATAACGGTGTTCTCTCGTTATTACAATCACCATTACTGTTTGGACATAAACTAAATATTCCCTATGTTAGATTTATATTATAAAACAAGTTTGTTTGCTATGTTACATATATTGTTAATTGAATTGAATTATTGTTTAATAAATGCCTGAAGAGCCGCTATCGCGGTGAAAACGTTAGCATAAAATGTAGTTTTATTTTGCCATCTTTAATTTCAATTATATGTTCCCAAAGAGCAGCTTTAATTAACTATTCTACACAAAACCTATATATGTTTGCCATGTTAGACACAAATTGTTAACTACTGAACTCCTCGAAAGAGAAAATATGATCAGTTGTTCTAGTTTTCTATTTGGTGCACAGCGACGCCTCGGCAGTTCAGAGGGACAACCAACATTTTATTGGTAAAACGCCCTGTCGACAATCCCAGCAATCGTCATTAATCCATACAGAAATCAAAAGGATTCGGCCATTAAGTAGAAGATTCGTTTTCTATCACTGCTTCCCAGTGTGGTATTCTCTTGTCAGTGCAGGTGCATGAAGGAGGGGGTTGGCGTCTGGCAAGTAACATTGTCTAGTCGATCTGAGGTACACGCTGGGGTGCACATAAAAGAATCGCCAATCAAGAACAGGCGAAAACGCCAATATTCTGGCAAAATGTTCCTTAAAGCACACTGCATAGTGTATGCATGGCTTCATTAGGTCGATTGGTGCAAAATAGTTATACCGTGTACCTTTCACGTAATCATTATCACAGACCGCAAACCATCGTCGTCTTCAGCATTAATTTATCTACTGACATTATCTTTAAATGAACATTAAAGATACATTATATAACAGCTATGTCGGCCTACTGCAGGTCTTTATTTTGCCTTCAAATATTACATATATGATTAATTAATAACATAACATGCCAAACCCCAAATCGGATGGAGCTGTGATTTTGAATTGATTAAAACACAATTGCAACTGAATAATTTAATGTATACATGGATAAGCCAAACTTTGTTTATTATCGTATCAATGATATTTGAGAATTGACAATCAAGACTATATCATCAAAACAATAAAACACTCATATATACGCTCAGAATAATATAATTTGACTGAATTCTGAACTATTATAGCAAGAACGGTAAATCGTACAAAGTGAATAGTTAAATGTTGGACACAATAACACCTGTTGAGTTAGTGGACATTATTATTTATCAAATTTCAAAGGGGTTCAGCTATTCATCGACTCTTCAGTCATTTGAAACGTATGCCTCCATGGAATTCCAACTGTTAAAGGTGAGCAAATGGACACTATCATCTGGCACACGGGGCCTTTTGTTCTTCCCTTCGAACAACTAAACAGCCTTTCCTTGTCAACCCACCGGAGCCAACCCCCACAAGTGCCAAACAATAATACAAACGCCTTAAGGTTTTGCATTGCCCACGTTACCATAGAAATTGTCATGCAATCATATTCTTGACATTACCATAGGCCCGGGGGGAGGGAGGCGAATGGTTAGCACGTGCACGTTGCATCATAAGGTCTATCATTGAGTGAACTGGCGTAGTTTCGATTCACCGGTTCTACGTGACAAGGAGTAGGGTCGCCTGTCCAACTTCGTGGGTTTTCCCCGGGTCATCCGGTTTCCTGCCGAAATGACCTAGTTTCTCTCTCTCTCTCTCTCTCTCTCTCTCTCTCTCTCTCTCACACACACACACACACACACACACACAACTGTGCTTAAGACGGCTCTAAAAGTTTGGCTTAGATTTGTGTATGAATATTGTCTGCATAAATAGGACTTCGGTCTAACAATTGCTTATTTGTCCATAAAATATAACTTTGGGTAGGGATACATCCTAATACTACCGTGGATATTACAGAAGACCCCCCCCCCCCTCCGGACAATCCTGCCTACACCCCCTTCCCCCTCCTATTAACCACCAAGCCTATTACGACCCCGGATCCGGATGTTACAGCCCCTCCACCATCTCGCCATTTGCTATGTCCAAAACAACCGCCCATAAATCACTATGTTATACTATAATTATATAATAAAATATCCCCATGATATGATTAGTTCCATTTCTGATAATTTAAACCCGGAAATAGAATAACGTATTATAGAAAGCTAACCCTTACCTTCACTAAAATATCATAAACCATTTTTTATTTACGTATTAACAATCCAAGGACTTCAATTACAGCTAAATAGAAAGGAAAGTAGCTTCGTATGATGTAATCCAGTTATAATAAAACTTATTTTCATAGAATAGAAATTGATAAATGACTTCGTAAAGACAATTACAAGATCCTGGTTTTCATTTCATCTATAACGAAGCGTATTATCAACTAAATAGCTGACGTAATACACATCCGTTCTATTATAAATATAACTCAGTATTCAACTCTAGTTGGATGGCCTCATCTATACTGATACTACTCGACACACCACATAGATTATATAGTCACTAAATGTACAATAATCTGTTTGAATGTCGTATCAAATCTTCCGCATACGATTAAACACAAATTAAAGTGGTCCTTTTTATTCATAAAAATAGAAGATGGTCCTCGGATAAAAAAAATTGTGTTGATGGAAAGTCAATGCCTCGTCTGTCTGTCTGTCTCGCTCTCTCTCTCTCTCTCTCTCTCTCATAGCGAAGAACAAAATTATTCGATAGTCCTCACTTGTGCTAAAACGAAACTAGCGAATGATAACAATTATAAAGGTCTGGGCTAGGGTATAGAACAACGAAACATCATTAGAATCAGTTGACTGTACTGGAAATGTCAAACGGTTTTTCCCACGGAATCTTAATACCTAAATTAATTTTGATAAATTAATTAATTTCCATAGACTGGTCACTAGTTAATTATATCGCCCTTGGCGTGCACGTTTTTGCGTTTAATCATCAACGGACGATGAACAGCAAATCGGATTCAAATCCAATGAAAATCATGCACATAAGACGGCATCGAGAGTTGATTATGGCCTGGATAAGTTAATTTATGTCTAATTAATAATTTAGATAACATTTCAGGCCTAAAGAAATCTGCAATAGACAAATTTACAATCTGGTTAAAACACAGATCCTATTTCGATTCGTTTTTATAGTTCAAAATTTCGTTTTACTTGCTTTTACTACACTGGGATCTGGAAGACTTGTTATTTAACTCATGTTCTGCTTGAAATGAGGGGTCAGCCAATCAAATGGTCTGTCGAATCGAGTGTTTGACCTTTTTTGATTTACTCCCACTGTGCCAGTTTTATTGTTTAGGGATTAATCAAATATTTAACGATACAACAATGGGGATTAGTTAGGGTTAAGGCAGGGGCGGATTGGGGCCGGGAACCGACCCGGGCTCCCGTGTCGGAGCGGCCCCTTTTACTGACCGCGGAGCCGGATGGGGGGTCCGGGGGCTCTCCCCCATGAAAATTTTGAAAAATGAACCCCAAATATGCGATTTGGTGGCATATCTGATTATAATCTCTGTCAACAAATAATATATCTCATAAATCGATTAATTTAGGCCAAAACCCCGACCTGCAAGTAATTTACAACCATCAACCTGTGAAATTATCATATCGTCATATTATTAATTAACGTATTATCATTGTATCGTCAAGACCAGCTATAATCAAATTTTGCCGAGGCCTTAAAATTGAATTTTTTGGGGGAGTTACGAACCATCGGCAGACGTTTCCGATGAAATTTTCGGATGAAATTCGGAATTACCATTGCAGGATTCCGAATTCCGGCCCACACCCAGCACACCCGGCCCAGAAAGTCTATCATACCAGCCTAATCCAGATTCCAGTGATGGCGTGGCGGCCCGTTAAAGCCACCGGCCACATACAACATGATCATCATCGCTCCATGGCCGGTCCAATACCCCCCCCCCCCATATAATGTTCAGCAGAAAAGTTTTTTTTAGAGAATTGGACAAATTTTTTTTTTCATTTTTGTCCGACCGGCCCAATCCGCCCCTGGGTTAAGGATTACCAGAGGATTAACAGTTTAATTTAATATTTTATTCCATTTTAAATCTACCCTTTTTTTACACATTATTATACAAAAATACAATATTTAAAAATTTTAGCATATAATGTACTAGTTATCATTTAAACATTTTATTTAATCAAACATTTTCCTATTAATAATACATCTTCAACAAAATACACCTTACAATCCAACTATATATAGTGTCCTCTGAACGGAGTTCACCACTTAAGTAAGTTTTAACAAAAAATTGCTAATCATCATGATAAAATAAGATGAACAGTTTACATGCTATATGCTGAACGAATAATCTGTTGAACACAGTTCTCTACACCATAAAATTGGGCCACTTGATTAAGCCAATTAAGGCTGTTAATTAAAATCCGATAATCCAAGGATTAAAAACTGATTAAAAAAGGATTAATCCCCTTAATCAATATTTTGAGCTGGATGAGAACACCCCAGTGGGAGTACCCCGCTTTTTGCCCGGAACTGTGGGTACTCCACTAGTAACATCAATGCTGATTGGTTAATCAAATGTTTGACGTCATAGGTCAAAAGTCGGTCTTTTGACCTCTGACGTGACCTATCGCTATAACTTTTCAGATCTTCAGGTAGTGTAGGTCATCGAAAGTATAAAAAAAACGAAACGAAATATAGATCTGTATTGTAATCAGACTGACAGATTAAGCTCTTGCATAATGTATCTCTAATTAAAAGGTGATATAAACTATCATTGTTAGGTGCGTAAATAGTAAAATTACTATATAAATAAGACGTTACATCAATTGTAGTAAGAATATTATAACATGCATTTCTAGGTTAAGCGTTAGAATTATGTCGCGATTTCTGCTCCATAGGATCAGGAAAAGAACAGGATAGAAAGAATCCGCTTGATGTAAAACTAAATGTTCAAAATATGAGAAACACATTGATTTAATTGTAAAACAAAACAATAATTTTATTCAGCATATTTTAATGGGATTGGGAGAACAGGCTTAACCTATCTAAAACCCCACTTCTAGAGAATCATTTTATATAGCGTCAGAATTTAAAAATATGGTTTATTGGGTGTATCATGAATACTCCAGACATATTAACTCTGTAAGTAATTTGTCAACAGATGACTTAAAAGCTGATTAAAATCATCGGTTATAACAGATACATTTATTAAAATAAACAAATGCAATTGAGAGGAAAAACACTTAACTAGAGATATGCAGACTGCATTGCGGGACCTTTTATCATATTTAACACGACGTGGAATGATAAAACTTAAATAAACGATTTAAAATATTGTTTTTTTTACTTTCCATAAGTAAGCTTGGTTGTGAAAGATTTAGGAGGGGAGGGGGCGCCAGTCACACGTGTTTTGTTGGGGGTTAAGGTTGCGGTACAAATGCACTGGTTAGGTTATTCCAACTGTAAGTCGTCTCTTTACGTTCATAAGTTCTTTAATATTGAAACCTACTTGGCTAAAAGATTTAAAATATGATTTAGGAGAGGTTATGCTCTGTTAAGATCTAAAGCTGGACAATTATAACGTAATGAGGCAGATAACTACACATTGCACACGTCGTTTTTTCCCCGATGGCTTGCATGTATTCAGTATTATTTCTTCTCCGTGTTATAGAAATAAGAACGTATGCCCTAACTATAAAATTAATACATATCAATTCTTTCACACGGTTTTAATGTTTATAAAGATTTTTTCTTCAATGCGCTGAGAGTGCATTTCAGGTACTCTAGATTCAAACATTTCTGATGGGGAGCAAGTCCCCGGCCCCCTGTATGAAATCCTGTGCATTAGCCAGTCTTATTTTTTCTACCCCCCCCCCCCCAAACCAAATCGATATGTACGCCCCTGGGTGGACGCTTACGGCTAGGCCCCGGATCCATTCTAATCCGATATGAGTGTTTTGTTGTTTTGTAATTTCTGTATATTGTGTCTTGTACGTAGATGTGTCTTGTGTAATTGTTTGTGTGTTGCAGTCCCCGTGTACTTATTATTAAACTTTCTCTTCCCAGCATTCGTGTGGGTTTTACGACATTTAGTTTGTATTTCCCTTGCCAGAACTATAACAATAAAAGACACGTTCGGTTTCATGTTTGCTTGGAGACCATCTAAATCATCGTAAATCTCTTAATTATAACCCTCATCAGATCATGCATCTGTTTAAGATTGTCAAATATAATATGTTATTTGTAAGATAAGAATAAAGTAGTTTGGCTCGGGTACAGACGGTTAATATTGTAACTAAAGAGCAGATACGACACCACCTGGAATATTCGGTCAAAATGGCACAAGGAACAAGAAATATTTCACTATTTTGAAAGGATACTAACTGCCACTAACAAAGATATTTATTTCGTATCTAATATAAATTTGCATTTGAGGTCTTTCTTTACAGTATTAAATTTTAACATTACTTTTACTATAGAAGCAGAGCCACACCAGTCTATTGATTAAATCGCTGGCTCACAGTCCAGGAGCTTCCGGTTTCAATCCCCGATGCTGGTTGGGAAGGTTCACCTTTAAAAGCGTATACTCGTCAATGTTGTAGCATGGAGCGACTGGTATTTACCCCCCCCCCCCGTGTCAGTGTTGTAGCACGGAGCGACTGGTATTTACCGCCCCCCCCCCCCCGTGTCAGTGTTGTAGCACGGAGCGACTGGTATTTACCGCCCCCCCCCCCCCCGTGTCAGTGTTGTAGAACGGAGCGACTGGTATGGTATTTAACCCCCACCCCCCTTTGTCAGTGGTGTAGCACGGAGCGACTGGTATTTACCCCCCCCCCCCCCCGTGTCAGTGTTGTAGCACGGAGCGACTGGTATTTACCGCCCCCCCCCCCGTGTCAGTGTTGTAGTACGGAGCGACTGGTATGGTATGTAACCCCCACCCCACCCCCCTTTGTCAGTGGTGTAGCACGGAGCGACTGGCACTTATAGCGCCCCCCCCTCCCCGTGTCAGTGTTGTAGGTCGGAGCGACTGGAAACGAAAGCTAGGACGTTAAACCCCATTACATTAATTTGTAACAGTTTAAGCTATACAAAAACATGTATACAGTAGTATATTAAAGACTGGTCATAATATAAATATTAATTATATATATTAGTACTTATGATGCACTTTTAATTTTGCATTTAAACAGTTTGTTAATTTTCTGCCGAGGTTGAGACGTACCAAGCAGCCTAGATTTCTAAAATCCAAGTTCAATCACTGCCTTGATACCTGATCCCCCACCCCACTCCAACAATAACCTGGTTTGGTAGAACCGATCCCGTCTGTATTAAATCAGCAAGAAATA